ATTTGATTTTGTATGACATGGTCCAATGAATGTGCTGGACTATGCTTCAGAACGGCATTAATTTTAATTCCTGGTCCTGGTTATTTATGCAGGAGCAAATTGACATTGACAACCCCATGAGTACCATGAACGGGGAGAAGCCTGCTACCCCCAGTCATGAGAAGAAGATGTCGGTGTCGAAACAACAGCTGGTGAGTCGAGTTCTAGATACTAGTATATGTGGTCGTATAGTAGTTAAAATGATCAAGTTAAGGGGGTATATCCCAGTTAGTTTTGGTTTTTGTTTGATTCTGCAAGCCCTCAAGTCTAGCAACTGTCTCTTTCAGGAAATAATTCTGAACCAAAAACTATGGGAAGAAATGATATCCCTCTAGCTACAAGAACAAAGGGAATTTCACTTTCTTTAACCTCTCATTAGCATGAAACTGACTTGTGTTGGTACTTTCCATAATGATGTTAGTACTCGAATTTTCAGTCACACATCATGACAATTTGAGATTAGAAAAAGTCTATTGTATTGAACTAACTTCATTATGAGGATGAAATATTAGATGAACTGATCATATTTCTTTGTAACTCCATCGTATATCAGACCAATGCAGAGAGCACAGTGACAGTTGACCAGGACGCAGAAGGACAGGATGAAGATGATCCTAAGAAGAAGCACTATGTCTGCTGCAAAGGTAAGGCTGATTATTTTGTTTACTCATTGGTCACCAGGTACACGTGACAAGACCTGAAGATCTCTGTTTGGGGATTGGAGCATTTGGCTTAGAATTACGAGGTCGAGGTCCTAAGTTCGAATCCTGCCATGTTACCTTGTCTTGTGCTTTTTATACGACTTTCGTCACTTCACTCAAAGTGAAAATGAGTACCTAGCCTTGCTTAGGGATGTCCCTCAGATCGGACATTAAATAATTGAGCCCTGTTTGTTTGTCTGTAGGCTTCACCTCGCTGGCCATGCTGATCATCATCGGAGACGGGATGCACAACCTGAGCGATGGGCTGGCCATCGGGATCGCCTTCGCCGGGAGTCTGTCTGTTGGCGTGTCCACCTCCATCGCTGTGCTGGCACACGAGCTGCCACACGAGATCGGTCAGTTAAACGCAACTGTTGATGGACCATAAAGATGCTATGGGATGGGTTTTGCAAACTTTCTTTTTAAATCAGGAGAACAATATCTACCATTTTTAATTCCTATTCTGACCTCCTGAGAAAGAGACAGAGAAAAATTGTGGACAGTCAGTTCTGGCAGTGTATGGTTCAACTGCATCTTCCCTGTGACCTCCAGGTGCATTTTCTTTTGGTCATGCATTCTTGCACCTTTTTCAACAGCTCTCTTTGCCGTTACTAAAATTCTCTAGTGTATCAAGCATCAACTGAAGGTTCTTAATACATGTATAACTGAAATAGTTAGCTGGGAAGGTTGGACACAAGTTTTATGTCTCCTATGTGTTTTCTGTTAGATCAACTCGAATAATCTCCCTGTGAATTTTCCCAGGTGACTTTGCCATCCTGCTGAAGTGTGGGATGAGCTACAAGCAGGCCCTCCTGTGGAACTTCATCTCCGCCATGGCCGCGTTCCTCGGACTGTACATCGGACTGGCCATCGGATCGGACATTTCAAACAGGCAGTGGATCTTTGCCATCATCGCTGGGATGTTCTTGTACATCGCACTGGTGGATATGGTAGGTCTTTTAAAATTGGCAACACAGTATCAAATGTGTGTTTGTGTGAATAGTGAGTGAGTGAGTGAGTGAGTGAGTGAGTGAGTGAGTGAGTGAGTGAGTGAGTGAGTGAGTGAGTGAGTGAGTGAGTGAGTGAGTGAGTGAGTGAGTGAGTGAGTGAGTGAGTGAGTGAGTGAGTGAGTGAGTGAGAAAATTCTCACTGCATCCTTCTGCACAAAATCATGACTGTTACAGTAACAGCTTACAATAACATATTATGTCTCAATGAAATTAAAATGTATGATTTCATGCCAGAATGTCTTATGCAATGTTGGTGTTTAAATCTCCAGATGCCTGAGCTTGCTGAGCACAAGTCGAAGCAGCCTGTTGTGACATTCCTGTACATGTTCTGTAGCTTAGTTTTTTGACTAGAGTGTCTTATATGATGTTGTTGTTTTCATCAACAGATGCCTGAGCTTGCCGAACACAAGTCGAAGCGACCAGTTGTGACGTTCATTGTGCAGAACGTTGGGTTCCTGCTGGGTGTGGTCGCCCTCCTGATGCTGGCTCTGTACGAGGACCAGATCCAAGTGAGCCTGACCTAGTGAAGGACAGCTGCAGAGTATTCATGCATGCATCATGACAATCAAGTCAATTTGACTTTAGGGTTTACGTTCAGAAGTGATCGGTCCTAAATTGTCCTGATGAAGGCCAAAGTGATCTCTGTGTACCCTTTGTGTTGGAATAAACTTTATTGATTATTACATGACATTTACATGACAAGATTATTACCAACACATGCCAATTCAACTTCTTGGTTCTTGGATTTTTTAGGGATGTAATGGAGTAGGTGGGCTACATAAAAACACTAATGGAAAAGAAACTGATGTGTTTAATCTGGTTAACATGTCAAACTATGGATTTTCAACTTTTGATGCATTCACAAGTGGAAAAACTGTCAACAGCATGGACTTTCTTCAACTGCCAAAATAAAAGCATTTCGGGGGTTCATATCCTGTATGATGCATTTTCTTTAACCATGAAAAAATGAAGCGACAAATCCAAGAAGTTATTGCCATGCAGCAAGCTAGTTGTTTTGTACTTGTGATCAAGAACTATAACTTATTGTGATGTGTGATTCTATGAGTTACAGGGTGGTGATTGTTGTAACAAACCATATATGAGAGCTGTTTTTATGTGGAAGTTGGATCTGTGTATGTTTGGGAAGAGAGTTTCTGAAACAGATTTCCAGAGCAAATCAATCTGACAAGAGAATTTTATTGTTACTGGTTGTGCTTAAACAATGATTGCTGTGTACCATTTGTGCTTGAATTTTGTGTCAATAATTTGTCAAAGAATATTGTTATATCTTGATATAAGGCGACTTTCTGTCTGACAGACAACACTTACTTAAGATATCACATTAAAGGAAACCCTATTCTCTATCTGTAAAGCTGGTATAACTGACATTCAGTATAGCACACCAGCTTCTGCATCTGCGTATGTATAGCCAGTATAATCAACCTCTGGAGAGTAACATACCATCCAGGTATACAAAAGGCTTGGTACCTGACTTAAGTTGTGGTGGTAAAAGATGGTGTAAAGAGAGGAATGGCCCCTTCCAATACCGTGCCTATGCTTAAAGACACTGTGACTGAGTTACTAGTGCCGACCCGCCCTTAAGGCCAAATATATCTAAAAGGCTATAGAACTACATGTACCTTTACCACACTTTTTACTAATTTTTAAACATGTTCACAAAATGGTATGGTGGATTAGTGCTTGAGTCAAGCTTTCGATATCAATCAGAGATGACCAGGGGGTTCATACATGTATATAACATTATAATTATATTGTTCCTTGACATGAACGAGATTTTGCAGGAGCCAATACTGGTAATCATTTGCCTTTATATTGAAAATTGTAAGAGAAATTTATTGGTAAATGTAAGAGAAATTTATTGGTAACATATGTACGTGTATGTATACAGTTTATTACATGTAACTATATAATGTTCAGAATCTGATGGATGTAATATTTTTGAAAAAGACTGAAAATGATGATTGAAATATATTTTCTCTGGTGTTAATAAAAGATTTTCTAGTGTGATGATTCACATGTTGGTGTGATGATTTTTTAAAGGAAACTAGAAGTTTAGTTAAAGTTAACTACTGAGAGTTTCCATGGTACTCAAAACTTGAGGACATGTTAGCTACTTGGAAATACAGTTTGTTGCAACATTCATGAAACCTTCTATTGCAATGAAATTGCATTTAAATACAAGCACACCTACAATCAAGAGGGAGATATGACATCTAGTTGTCACCTGATTGTTTCCAAGAAAACACTCCTGTTCGTAAGTTAAGTGTTGCAGTTCTGCAAACCCTAACCATAGTTAATCTCCAAGCAGATCTTTCGGTGGCAAGACAGTATCCATTGGCCAGAGGAGTGCCCATTACGGTTGGGAAATGGATACAGGACGGCCAATGGATACGGTCTTTTGCCACCCAACCGAAAGATCTGCCATAGTATGACATGAAGTTGGCAATGCTCAGGCGCCCCACCTAACGTATGTCATGCTAACTACAGTCTGACGTGATGTAAGGTTTACGTCTGTCCAGGAGCCGGGTTTGAAGTCTCTCGCTAAGAGTGCAGTGCAGATTAACATATTGATAAAAGAATGCGAAGCTATAATGTTACAAGTGCTAACATTAAAAGTTGTTGCTCATTTATCACAATGATGTAAAAAATGTTACAATGTATCTCCTTTTGAGGTACGTGCCTTGGTGGCTTCTCTGTACGCAAGAACTTATTGAGTCCAAATGGAAAGTGATAACTATGAACTACATAACGTTAACTAACTAACTAACTAACTGACTGAGTAAATACGCTAACACAACAATTTAATGATGTTCTTTTCGTCATAACGTAAGATATACCATTCTACATTTTTCGGCAAGCACGGATAGTTTTTTTAAAGAAAATCCCTGAGATTGGAAAGCATACTGTATTTGAATTCATCGTCTATGACACTCCATTAGATCCCCGTCCGATAACGTTTGCGTGCGGTGTATTGTTTAGCGTTGCCTAGCAACGGGGGCTATTGTGCCCTGAGGCGTCAGACGATCCGGGCGGTCCGTCCTAGATTCTCGGGGATAACAGAGCGACTAAACAACCCTGGGACCACAGGACGGCTGACAACATGGCCAGCAGCAGTCTCGGCTTCAAACACGTCAACCGAGGACCCCTCAAACTTGACCATGACAGTGAGTAGCTCAGTTTTTCTTCTGTGTTTCCATCCCGGCAAAAAACTCGCTCCATCCGCAAACCGGACACTGACCACGAAGGCGAAGTTGTCGTAGTTTGATTCATTCCAGATGTCCTCTCTCTTTAGGATAGATGGCCATAGATACTTAGGGACTTTCTCTAGCTTCACGTTTCTTTAATCGCCCCATTTGTGCTAGACGAGGGACTTATCGGCCAAGAAGTATAAATTTTGTAAATATTTTGCTAGATTTTTAACGGGGAGATATTTTTTGACTAGTGATCTTACTCAGGACTTGTGCGAACTCTGGATCTGGCGAACATTTTAAAACTATTTCCTCTCTTCTATTTCTAACCAACCACGCAGACTAATGCAGAAAAGGAAGTTTGTAAGTACATGTACCTGTTTTGCAGTAGGTTTTAAATGTTATTTTACATAAAGCACTAGCTATAATTGAAAGACAAATTCAACGCATGTTTAGTTACTATATAGTGGGGTACCGAGATTTAGGTGGGGAGGGGGGCTGTGTCGTCCAAACTTCGCCGGAAAACTTTCAATGATTTATAAGTCATTTGACGGTTTTACTAGCTCAAGAGACAATTTTTTATTCATTAAGTAGCCAAAGAAGAAAGTCATTCCGTGGACAAGTGACTCCACGTTCCTTGTAAGTCGTTTTTGGCCGAAGATAGATTATGGGGGAGGGGGGCAAACTTCTATCTTTGCGTGACTACGAATGATTTTGCCCTTAACGCTCTGTAGGATCAAACGCCGGCTTTTGCCGTCCAATAGATCCAAAACCTGCCGCGAACATTCCCCCATAGTTTATCTAAGAACTGTACCCCGACCTGAAGCTTATCTAATCTAAGCTACCCTGTGTTTGCTCAGCTAACACCGGCTTTGTGTGAAAAGTTTGTACAAGTCATGAAACGTTTGAACAAAGGTGCGCGGGCCGATATGCGTACAGGTGGAAAAACTAACACTTCTGTTCTAGAGTATTAGTCACAGTTACCAGGTGTTTGTGGAGAAAACAACAGTCGATAGTCTCCATTTAACATTAGTAGTACAGATCATTCATCAGCACTTAAAATATGAGTTGGCAATTGAGTTTTTTCATTATGATATACTTCATGTTTCTAGTAAGTTTGTGTCATAAGATGATTTTGTCCTAGTCACTTTTGTTCTAGGGTATTAGTCACAGTTTGTTGGTGTGTGGGGAGAAAACAACAGTCCCTAGTCTCTGTTTTCCCATGAAAATCAAAGTTTATACTGTACAGTTTGGTAAATTGTTGATAGCCAATGTCTGGATACTTAGAAATTAAAATGAAGTTATTATTATGAAAATTTGTGTCGTATCAGTTGAAGATATGTGAAAGTGGAGACCATGTTGTTTGTGTCAAAATAAGAAGATTGATTGTACAGAAGTTTTGACAAGTTTGGCGACTGTTTGTCATGAAAACAGCAAACGCAGTCTCTGTGTTGCCCGAGAAAATAAAGCCGCCAAAGGAATGTTCCAACCGTGTGTCAATCTTGGATTCCTAGGTAGGCGGTAAACATATTGATTGGGTTGTCAGCTCAATTAAACATTGCAAGACCATTCACCCAAAATGTTACATTCACGTTAGAATGACAACTAGAATCTAAGTTGTACAACACAATAAAAAGTTGAATGTAATACTAATTGTAAGTTACTGCAGTACATTTTCTAAACATGTACAATCACTGTATGTTCAGTACCTTGATTGTACTTTAAGAGAGTTATATCATCTTTATTGTGCGTAGGACAAACATATACAAGATGAATGGTTAAAACAGCTAGGGTAGCCCCTTTTCTGAGATAGCAAAACCCAGGGGGTGCAAGGTATATGTGGTGTCAGACAAAAATTAATTTAGACATGACATTCGTTTTATTCCCGTACCCCATGGTACATTATAACTTACTCATACCACAGACCACCCCGGACGTATGTCCTTATAGATGGTCTAACACACAAGTACTCCACCGGGTGGTGTTTAAACCATTTTAATCTGGATTACTCAAATAAATCTGGATACATCTCATTATTTTCAGAAGTAGATGGTTTCAGCACTTAGTGAAAACACCCTTTAAAAGATTTATATTATAAGCAATTTGTACCTGGTAACCCATGCTGTCATTAAAAAACACGTATAAAGGCAGGCTATGTTTTAGCAAGCTCACCTGTTGGTAGTGGAAAGAAATTTATTGCTTAGCAAAATTTATTGACATACCAGCACATGCTTTAACTGTTTTTCACAATGTATCATTCTTTAACTCACTCAGTACGTATGTCCTGGATATGAATTTTTAATGTAGAGGTGAATTCCGAGTGAATGACGTGAGTGCAAATCTCCAAGGTTGTAACTAACACACACATAACACCTCCACAATACAGCACAACCAACTCAAAACATGCAGATATTAACTGTAATCTGTGCAATCATAACACGTCACTTTTCGTGTGTAAAGAAAAACCTCCAGTGGAGGTAAGGATATTGTTGTAAGGTCCAGGATGCGAGGCACTACAAATAACCAGTAGACAATAGACTTATTCACTCCAGGTTCCTACCTGATTAACCTTTAGTGCTCTAAGGGTGCTTACGTGCATCACCACTTTGAATTGGTTACCTTGGAGTTTAGAAATCTGTGGTTAGATGTACATAGAAAAGCCATATATTGCTAGACAGAATGACGTATACATGTACAATTGTACTGTACTACTGCTAAGGAAACATTTTTATAGATTTTTATACCACTGTGGATAGTTAGTGAACAGGAGGTAGTACTATTCGTTTAGTTTAAGAGACACAGCTAAGAAAACAAAAGACTAAGCAGTGCTTTTAAGCGTTAGGCACGAAATGTCAATCTTAACGGTACCCTTAATGCCAGTGCATTATCCTGTAGTTAAAGCCAAAATCAACACGACTTGTCAGCCATAAGGGGAATTAGACTAGGAACCATGGAAGAGAGATTGAAATGTAAGTGGGAATTTTAATGTGAACAGTTCTTTTTTACTACTAAGTAAATCAATGATTCTCAATGTCCTATCCATTTTTCTCAAATAAGATACAATTTTGTAAATTGTATAGTCAAAGGTGGAGTTGCTGAGACTCTAACCCGTAGGGGTATTGACATTAGCTGTGCCCAAGACCCACAGGACAGAGGCAAGTGGCGAGGTACCATCAAGCCCCAGCATCAGTGTGCAAGCACGTCTAACCCTCAGAACACGGGGAACAACAGACGTTAAACCGGATAGAGAGAGAGAGAGAGAAGAATATTAAAATCCTCTTTTTCCTTTGCGTAGCACCCATCCCATAACCCGTCCTATTTGGTTCCTGCTTGCTTGTCACTTTCTGTGTCAAGTTTATTGAGTGCGTCAAGTTTTGTTTGAGTTGTTCAAGACTCTTGTTGGGACATCAAAACATAAAGTGGGCAATGTTGATTCAACAGTAGTGCATTGAAATATCCAAAACGTCAGTGTTCTGTCTCCAGAACAAAGACATTTCAGACGTTCGTTTGACATTGTAGCAGTATGTAGAAAGGTTTTATAAAATAACACAAAAAGCCAAGTAGATACTGTTGAGTTAACAGAGCAGTTGGGATGTAAGAAAGGCTGTGATAATCCACTGGCAAGTATAAATCAAAGGGGTTTAGCTCATCATCTATTGCTCTTTCTACAGGAAAATCTCAGTCTGTAAAAACCTATAGTATCAGCTACAATTTTTAACATTTTAAAGTTTCCCTTTTTGCTACCGCATGCATAATATCTCCACAATTCAGCAATGAGTCTACAACACTAATAAAACATGACATTGTCCCCTCTCATGGTGTTTTTCTCAGTCTCCTAGGTACATATCTCCTGTCTGTAATCATTGCTTCTACCTGCCATCACGACAGCTATCTTGCCTTTCTTTGTGTCCCTTTATTAATTGCTACCCTCATAATGCTGAAAACCGCTCATGTGGAAAAAACATACACGCAAACCAGGTCACACTGTCAGATCTACTCGTGGGTGTGCCTCTGTCGTTATTGTTTCTTCCCGTTGCCATGGAAACAAAAACACAAGATTTTGCTCTAGGTGAGGTAGTCCCATGTACGGGTGAGCGGTTGTGAGAGCGCCACGTTACGGATGCCTGAGAGTAATAGGTACAACTTACACGGTCGCACAAAGGGCCGCGCCGCGCTGTAATCAAGAGAAGAGGCTCCCGTTTCTGATGTTTGTTTTGTGTTGTTTGGTGGAAGGTCAAGCCTTTTTTGTTGATATAGAATGGAGCATACCAGCACAGGATTAGGTTAGGGAGCAACCTGAATGTTGAAATGAAAAGTAATAGGACAGTCGAAGGACAAGTAATTAGGCTGTAACTTTAGTCTGTTCCAGTCTCTATATTCTCTTACCATTTTTTTTCTTTTGAGATCCCCATGAAGAAACATGCCATCATTCCTGACATAACTAAAAGTCTAAGGCCTCAGGCTAAATTGTAAACCTGTGCATGTTTAACCAGTGTGTTAATTTCAACGAAAACATCTGATTCAATACCTTTGTAGACCGCTACAAGTCTTGGGCCAGATATATATTGTAATGGTTAAAAAAAGTTTCAGTTTTGAATATATAATCAAAATTGTTCCACCTGTTAATTGTGTCACAATGGCTACGTTTGTTAGTAAGTTACTATGTTCTAGAACAGGCCTTAGATACAACGATTGTTTGCACATAAAAGGAATAAATACCATGCAGAACTCAACTAAATATCTTATGTCAAAAGATGTACAGTCCAAAAGGTAAGTCATTGACAGCCTGTCACTGAGTGTCAGTTGATTTTTAAATATTGATGAGTTGACAGGAGTGTAAAATGCACACATCATAGTCTATAAAGACCCAAAAGACTGGCATAATGCTACAGCTTTTGTTTTTACCTTCTACTTTCTAGCTCCCAAAGAGTTGACTACAGTCTCATTTTCCTGTGTGTGATTGGACACAACTGTGTATAGTATAACCCAATTAAATGGCTTTTACTTGAATGTAGACGGCGCCGGAACTAACCAAAGAATCTGACAATAGCATCAGTACTTGACAGTTAAACTGATTACACCTTTAGTTCCCCTCTGTCAGTATCATGACTACAGGTATTTTGTCCACATGCGATGTGTCAATCAAACCATGGTTACCGCATGGCTGGTGGAAGGTCACCTTAAGAGATAAGCGACATTGCGTGTTACAGCATCATCTATTACCGCAGTAGCCATTAAATGTCATGTACAACGTACGATAGTGACATTCACAACATTGTGTAGTGGTCTCATGAAAGAATGATTGACTATAAGTATAGGCTAGGTCAGTGCACTTATAATGGTAATTGTTTGAACAAGTCAAGAGTTTGTAAATCTGCAATATTGAGTGACATGAAGGTCTGAAGTGATATTACTCTACTTTACTTAAGATGCAACAAGGAATGACATGTGGTAGCCAGGCAACAACAAGGCTGGTAGTGGCTACCACTGACACAAAAATCACACAACATATGCAAAGTATCAAATTGAATCATTAACTTTGGATTTCTCTAACGAAGTCCAAGTTAGTAATCATGCTCAGTGTTGATATTATTAATGCCTGATAGTGAAGAAGGGAATAAAAATATAAAGCCTAATTTTAAGTCAATCCATCAATCTAAAGTAAAATGAATCAAAGCTGAAAAGTTCTGACTCTGTTTTGACTCTGACTCAAATCAGGCTCTCTGCCAATGATTCTACTGACAGTTTCTGTTGACAGAGATCAAGATCTCTAATAACTAGAATTATTGCTGATTCTACCAGATTGGAGTCTACCCTGACATATTATATACGACGTGGCGTCGGGTGGTGTAGTGGTTAGAGCAATCGACTGTGAACCGGGAGACCCGGGTTCGATTCCGAGTCATACCCGGTACATGTCTGAACATGCGCCCCGACGTTGTACCCTTGGGAAAGGCACTTTACACGAATTTCCTCACTCCACCCAGGTGTGAATGGGAGCCTAAATTCGGTTGGGGAAAGTCGTATTGAGGTCACCTTGTGGCGCCGAATGGCAGCCGCACAGACCCTTGCGACTGTGTGTATCATTTGAATGTTGTAATTGTTGTGATTTGTATTGTTTATTATGTGATACCCTGCATCAATTCAGCCGTAAGGCTGCGACTGCATGGGTACTGTTTGGACAATAAAAACCATTTATTATTAGAAGGGGAAAATCCCAAATGTTCCAATGTCTTTCTCTCTCTATCTCTAGTTACGCCCAAAGACTTCAGTGCCTTCACTCCGCCCCCTGGTGAAGGAGCCCCCCCACGCACCTACAAGTACCAGGGCTGGTCAGACAAGCAGTTTGAGGGGGTGAAAGAGCCCCTCACGGGGCCGCTACGCTTGAGGGAAAAGGAAGCGCCGCCTCCCAAACGGAAAAAAGTACAATCCACACAGTTTGTCAATGGTGAGTCTTCTTTGATTTTACCCTGACTCTATCTTGCACATAGACCAAACGTAGTCTGTGCCTGTTTTCACGGTTTTCGTTTTGCATCAGAATGTTGCCCGTTGCTGGTGATATCTTTTCTGATACAACATTTTAAAAACTTTAGATGGGATCAATGCCATCCTAAAATATGTGAACAAGATCTTAAACAAGATATTCTGCCGAACTGCCATGCACCGTACAATACAGGGTTTCATGCCGGCACATTATGTTCTGCCGACATGTTACTCTACCCTGCCTCCTATGTCGGTATAAACAGATTATCTTACAAAGGTGCAATCAGTAGTAGTAAGGATAACTCATCAGATGGCAATTGAATCTTTTCATTACAATATACTTCATGTTTCTTAAGTATTCTGTATCCAAAGATGAATTTGTCCTAATCTACTAAGCAAAACTTTCAATTTTCCATTTGTAGGAAAGCCCATTTTTGAGCTGGACGGTAAGAATTTCCAGTATGGTACTGATGAGCTACATCATCTTCTGGAGTCCTCGGACAAAATCCCAGTCAGACGGTCGGATTTCCTAAAGGATCAGAGAGGGTATGTACAAGACATTTGTACATTATATAACTCTTGCATGAGTGTCAATGAAGGTTAGACATCCTGGTAATGAGATGATACACATGGAAATTGTCACTCAAGCAACTGGATAAATTTTGAAAACTGTTAGACTTAAAAACTGTCAGACGTTTGAAGTAGCACCCACGACTTTTTGTCGGCGTCTGTCTGAAAAGTCACTGACAGTTTTCAAGTCTGACAGTTTTCAAAATTTATCCAGTTGCTTGAGTAACAATTTCCTTGTGTATCTTGCAAGTCACAGAGTGGTGTGTACTGCTGGACTGGTCTGACATTTTTGGCATGGATGTCACATCAGTCCAGAACCCTTGGGATCAATGGGGAATATAGTGTCATCATTTAAAGGATAAGTCAACAAGTTAATGAAACATTTGTCGTGTGATCACAGGTCAGCTGAGGAACGTCGTCGACACAAGCAGCAGAGTGAAGCGGAACAAGACATCGCTCGCTGGCGAACAGAGAAGGCTCGACGGAAAGTAGAGGAGGTGGAGGAGAAGAAAAGGGTATGAAGATTCAATACTGGATTAACTTAAGTTATAAGGAAAGAGGGAGGGAAAGAGAAAAAAAAGGGAGGAATACGATGAATGTTGTGTTGTACTAAGATCACAAAACCCTCTCATTATGCAGAAAGTGGGGCAATTCATTATCCACTGCCTTCAAAGAAGAAGTCAAACCTCAGCAAGCGTAGTACATGTAGTAGTTACTGTAGTAGTATAAGTTGATCAGACAGAAGTTGTATGTTACCTATTGCATTGTTTTCTTTCTTTGACACTGTACAGGCAATTAGCCTTTGGGCATGATTTTGCAAAATAAAAATTGATGTAATCCTTTGTTCTTATCACATAGGATCTGGAAATGTTGAAAACCTATCAGCCATTTGGGAGGCCTGGAGCCGGGGCGCCTAAGGTAGGGACAAACATGCAACATTATCCATATACAACCAAAATGCAGATTATATTCTGAAGTATATTTTAAAAAACCCTTGTCCTGCGGGGCCCATATATATATATGGGTTGCATATACAGAACCATCTATATAGTGCCCTGTATAATGTATAATTTAGGGGTACTTGTCATGCAACGTGCCACACCGCAGCAAAACGCAATGAATGCGGAAGTAACTACGCCACCGCGGGGCAAAAAAAGTCAAGGGTCTGTGACCTGATAAAGACTTCAAATTACTTGAAAATATTGTGCAAAAATTGCCAGCAGGACATGGGTTAAAGAATTCTTCCAGTATGAAAATAAATGGAGGAAATCTTCTTAATTCTTTACGCTCTTAGCTTGTTTTGATTTTTGATACTGTTTACAGTTTTGATTCAATACTTTGTGAGCAATGCCTGGGGCATGTTGAGTAAACAAAACTGTGTTGATTTGATACCAGCTAGACTTACAAAACATGCCCTTCTTTGTTGAGCAGTGTTGACCAATTGTTTTATGGTCACCTTGGTTAAAACTATCATTTGGCAAACCTGACTCCTTGCATTTAAAGAGGGTCTTACATTTTTTTGGTCTTTCATGAAAATACATGTAATAACTTTATCAAATCTAATTCCTACTTGTGATTTCTTTGTTAAATCTTGTAGGATTCGACCAGCACAGATGAGTTGTATTTCAGACATTAAAGTCAGTGTTCTAGCCAGTGTCCATTTTTCTGTCATCATTCATGATGGACAAAAATTTTGCCCACTCCATCATCTTTGAGAGTCAAAAATCACTGTGTAAAGGAATAGAAAGAAATGTCATTAATCTAAAATTTTCCCAGAGACCCTTCTAGGATTAGGTGCGTAACATAATGTTAACATCTGTGTCCATAATATCACCATAGTCCATAATATCGCCACCTTGAGAAAAAGTGTGCTTAAAGATATTTTTACTGCAACATACCCTAGGTATGTACATTTGAGGTGTGCAGGAGTGCATACCAAAAGTATGTTGCAGTAAAAATATCTTTAAGCACACTTTTTCTGAAGGTGGCGATATTATGGACCCAGGTGATATTATGGACACAGATGTTACATCAAACAGTATTGAGACGACAGAAAAAAAAAAAATTCAGGCTGGCTAGAACACTAACTTTAAGTGTAATGTATCAGCAGGCTATTAGCAGACTGTTATCCCCTGTAGTGTGTGTTAATTAGTCCATAGATTAACCTTGTTCCATTTCTCATCAGCCTGGGATCAAGAAAGAGTCCCCACCCATCACAGAGAACAGGATGGTGGGTTATACAGAATCTTGCCTTGGGGTGGAAAGTGTTCCTGACAAGAATTTCTAAAAGTCCTAAAGAATTTTTTCATTCACACTGGAAATTTTAATGTCAACTGTGTTCATTTCGATTCAAAACCAAAATGTTTAAATAATTCCTTGCCCAAAAAAACGAGCCCAAACCCTTCTTTTTTTTACAATTGACAGTTCATTTTCCACCATCCATGAGTTCCTATAGTGTGATAGCTCTGTTTTCTTCCTGCCCCCCCCCCCTCCTAGCCTCCCATTTCTACTTACAATGTCCCTGGTCACAAGACCCCCAACAACTACCATAATGGTTGCTGTCACACTAACAGGTTTATCCTAACCTCTAATGTTATAAATTTATTCTTTAATTCTTTCGAGTAGTCCACTCAAATTATTGTTAACCTTCTGATTTCATAAAAACTTGAAGTGTATGCAGTGTAGATGTCAACAAAGTTAATATAACTAGGAATAAACAAAATTGCAGGTGTAAGACTAGAAGACCAGGTAAGCTGATACCAAACAGTAGTACTGTCACAGTGTTACCAGTACGTTTCTTTAGGGCAGCGTGCAGTTTTTCTGTTGTCTTCGTTAGTCCGAAGCTCACCAGACGTGCTTGCTTGCTTGTCTGTTCTACGCAGGCTCCCATGACTAGGATGACTAACTCATTAGAGACGAGATTTAAGCCCCCAATGCCAGAGGTGGGTCTGTGTTAGTGAAGACAGGGGTTTGTTAGCTTGATGTGCGACTTGGTTTTAGCCTGGATACCATCCGGATTTTCGCTTCGTAATGCTCGAAATTTTTTCAAGCTTTGCAGAGCGAAAATCCAGATGGTACCCAGGCTAACTTGGTTTTGCTTTGCTTTTGTTTCCGGTTGAACTTGATCTAGTGTAGACATTATCTACTAGCTGAGTAGGAGATCAGAATTTTCTAAACTTTTCTTGTGGTCAGAAAAGACAAAATGTTAATTCAAAGCTTAATTTCATGGAATTAATTTGAGAAATTTTGCAGCTTCAAGTATAGCAAATGTAAGGTTGATATATATATTAGTCTGTTTTCTTGAATGTAGAAAATATTGAATGTATTTTGTACATTGAAGAAAACACTAATATATATATCTATAAAATTAGCAAGTCTACAAGTTGACTCAAATGAATGAAAAAACAATTAGAGAAAACAAAATATAATGTTTTTCAGAGAAAAGGATGACAATATTAATCTCAATTTTACTACTTTCAACCACTTCTCTCCTGTCTATCTGTCTGTGTGTTGGCTTTTGTGTTAATATTCCTGTCCACATGCACATTGAAGTGTGTCTGTTTCCTTTTACAAAACATTGTGTAGTTTTCAGCAGGGATGTCTCCAGGAAGTGAACACCAGCTTTGTAAAACCTGACTGAAAAATGCTGAGCTAGTTCTTTTCTTGTCATCTTTCCAATACATGGGAATTCTACTGTTTCGTTAGTGCTATCTGTGTGCTGAAAGCAGTCAGTATGTCTGGAAAAATATTGATAACTAAAAAATGGATGATTTTATCGATCCCAAATGACTCCCTGCCCACCACAGTACAAAAAGTATTTTCACCGTCAATCATCTGAATGCCTGCTTCTGAATTGTTTTATTATGAGAAATTTAACATTAAACTTCTCTTTGATGGTACACTATACAGTACTTGGAGATATCCCTGCATTTACAAACACTGTAATAGTATGCCTGGATATGAAAAGTGCTGAAAGTTGTGTTTTTCCAAAAACCTAGCACACATATGAGGATGGGTTTGGCAAGCCCGGTGCGGGTGCCCCTTATCGCACGGAGTCTGGTAAGATCAAAACCACCCACAAGCAGGACCCCACGCTGTGGTTCAAGGCCAACAACAAGGCAGCGGAGCGCGAACTTGAGATGATTGAGAGGTACAAATTGGACCCAAAGACTGCGAAGGAATACAAGACAGAACTAGGTGAGATACAGTACTCTGTCTGTGTTTGCACTAAAGACTACATGACACCAATAACACTGAAATACAACTGTTACTGTTTCTGAGAATAGTCAGAGACGTGATAGGTATGAAAGGAAAAAAAAAATTGTTTTGGACAAAAATAAGTTTGGACAGAAATACATACTGTACTGGTGACTCGATAGCCTGATTAAATCGCTTTTGCCGGCCGCCCAACATCCAGCCGGCCTTGGGTGGCGGACTATGTAGGGAGCCCCCCGGAGCTTGGGTTACATAGGCTAGTGACTCGAGTGATAAAGAATCATTATAGTAATTGCCACTGGTAAACAATATCGACCCCTTTTTAGGTTGAGTGCTAATACAAGAGAAGAATTTTTGTGATATTGATGTAAAAAGCATGTTTTTCATTTCTTTGCAGCACGTTTGGTGGAGGATAAGAAACAGAAGATGCAGCAGGAGTACCAGGCAGACTTGGAGGCCGACAAGAAGATGGTACAGAAACTTTCAACCTTTACAGCTTCTGTCTGCATAGAGTACTGTTTTACATGTATACAATATCTTAGAAAGCTTGCAGACCTAGCTGGGACTTTAAAGGCATCTTATGCAATTTCAGGGTAGCAATTTTGTAGTGGTAGTGTCTCTCTCAACATTTTAGATCGGATATCAAAACCAAAATGTGCGGCCATTTAGATTCCATATTTGCAGGCTCATATTTGTTTGGGCTACTACATGTATTAGCAACCTTACAATGTACATATTAAACTTCTTCTAGTTGTGAGTTGATGCAATCATTGACAGCGTTTCTGTCCTTTCCAGGCCGAATTCAACCCCTTTGGGAAGCCAGGAGCAGGAGCACCACTCAGGGATTACCATGGTAACCACACTCTTTCAGTCAGAATCTCGTTACCATGGTAACCACATTCTATCTCATGCAGAATCTCGTTACCGTGGTAACCACATTCTTTCTCATTCAGAATTGTTACCATCATGATGGTAACCAGATTCTCATTCAGAATCTCATTACCATGGTAACCACATTCTTTCTCATGCAGAATCTTGTTACCATGGTAACCACACTCTTTCTCATTCAGAATCTCGTAACCATGGTAACCACATTCTTTCTCAGTCAGAATCTGGGACTATATCAGGGCAAAAAAAGGCTCTCACTGTCACTTCCATAACTATAATCCTGCCCCAAATTTAGCTCACCCGATTTCAGCCTAGTCTCTAACTTACTTGTACATCAACAATGTATATCAAGTAAAACTATCCTATCTGAGTTTATACACTTGTGTATTTCAAAACACTCAATGCAGAGGTTATATGTTATTTGCTACAAAATTTCAACAAAATGCAAACTGTCTTGTCTTCAGTCACTATAAACAGCATCCCTACTTTTTGTGGATTTTGTTTACTTTCTTCCTTATGTATTGTTTATTTGCTGGTACAGTATTTTATTTTAAGGTTTTTGTTGTGTTTTTGTACTGTTCCCTATTTGTTTGTTTTATTTCATTTCAAAGTTTAACATTTTGTTTGCATAAGCATGATATAATTTGCATTTCTTTTTTTTTTATATGCATGTTACCCTGCATGTCAACTAAAGGAAGGACTCGGTCATATTTTGGTGCGTGGCTGTCACACATTGATGTCTGCCGCTCCTTCTTAAGTAGAAGGCTACTACTATATATGTACATGCCAAAAGTGTAGTCATTGAATAACTGTGCTTACAACAATGCTTTAGTGGAAAAATTTTTGCCTGTTTCCTTAAAGAAGGAAAAAGTATGGCACAAACAATTATATGTTCAAAAATATGGCCAGTACTAACAAGTCAGTGCTAACATTTTGTACATGTACATCAACATGAAGAGAGAATTTTCCTGAAATTTCAGCGTGAGGAAACAACATTATCTGATGTTTAAAGTTAATTTTTGATCCAACTCAAAAAGTTCTCTCACCTAGAGCTTTTGACCAGTCACTCTGGTCTTCCTCAGTAGACTGATCCAGTCAGGCTTGTCATGTGACTTCTTTGAAGTGTGCCGTCATGATAACATTATCTGATGACTACACATTATGGCTGATGTACAAAATGTACATTACACACAAGCAATAAATGTCAGTTAAGGTTGTAAGTCCGTGTTGATGAAACATCTGACACGTTTGGAAACAGGGCAGTTAAAACTGAAACGCGAACAACACCTGGCCCGGATGGACGATCTTTACGAACAGAGAAAGGTGGCAGAGAAGGAGAAAATTAGGAAGGAACAGAGACAGAAGCTACTGGAACAGTTGATCAACGAAGGTTAGGGTGTAGGCAGTGGTGACTGGTGATGGTGGTGGTCTAAAACAGGCGGTGTTAGAGCAATGGGTGTTGGTGAAAACTTGGTGTTTTAGTTTGCACATTATACTGCTTCTGTACGTATGACATGACACTTCAGCAGTCATAATCCTGGCAAGTGGCCCTACTGGGGTAGTTAGCACTATCCATCTGTCAACCAATCAGAACTGCCAAATTCACTAGCGAATCACATTTCTGCTGCTAGTCAAGAGGCCACGTGATTGGCTGCTCCCTTGCCAATAGCTAGGAACAAACTCTGCTGGCTATTGCGTGTACAATTGGCCTAGTAAGAGAAGGTGGTTGGTTATGGATGAAGGAGCTATTGCTGCTATCCCCTAAGGCTTGAAGAAGCTAGTAGTAAGCATAAGGTATACTTTTTCATTAAGTGCAAGTTGGTGATGGTGCTTGAATCCATGTTCACTTAAGTTATCTCTTAGTCACAAAAGTGTACATCAAGCATGGTACATGTCACAATTAACTTCATGCAAGTTTTTATGCACACAAAAGGTATTGCTTGTCTAAAGCATATGAATGCCATATTTAGAAATTGATATTTTATACTTGTATTAAACAATCTCTAATCTGGTCTGTTGCAGATCCACACAAGCCTAGATTAGTGGACAAAGTGGACAGATCACAGGTAAGACTGCCTTCCTTTTCAACAATATCCAAAATTCTTCCTAGGTGCTGATTGGCTTTCCAACTCATTCATCCTTGGTGCTGATTGGCTATCCGATGTACCCATCCTTGGTGCTGTTTGGCTATTCAAACCATGTACAGTTAATCTTTCCTTGGTGCTGATTGGCTATCCAACACACTCTTCCTTAGCATGTTGCAAACGTACTGCACCTGCGCTTAATGTATTGTGCATAGCACTTCAGCAGAACATCTCATATAAGGTCGTATTCGTGCATATAAGGTTAACACTCTGTCTGTAGTTTCTAAATGTTATGTTGGAAAAGATGTTGTGTGCAACAGGTAAAATTCTAGTGCGCGTTGACCAAAAATCCAATGAAAACAGTGAAAAAATGGGACTTTTGCGCAGGCGCAGTACGTTGTCTTTGCTGACTTGCTATTCCCAGGATGTCTAACCTTCATTGACCTAACAGTGCTGCATGTTCCCCCAGGGAGGTGGTGATGAGTACAACCCCTGGGGAAAGGGACAGGGGGTTCCCGTCTACGACAAGTCCGGAAACGTACGCAGGTTCAAACGGACCGACATGTACGGAGTCCCCGAGACATTCCAGTCAGATGTGAAGGTAGGTGGCTCATTATTAAACCCACAATCTTTGGAAAAGGTGGGACATTACGTCTTCCATAGCTTATAAAAGAGAAATCAAACCCTTCAGACATAGTTCCAGACAATGACTTTTTGTTATGTAGATTTTATACTTATTTTGTACCTTGTTTGACTGTTTTTTTATCCCTGTTATTTGCAATTAGACTTGGGGCAGGATCTTGCAATAGACTTATTCTTACTTAGGTTTTTTTTGGTCCTCATATAAAATCTTAGCAATTGGATCAAACTTGAATTTGAAGGTTGATAGACATTCCAATGACATGTACAAGTTATGTACTTTCAACAGTTGTGTCCATCTTTTAAGAAACTTGCTTTAGAGTATCTACATGTGCCTATACAATGCATGAAATAAAGGAATAAAAGTTGGCATTGTGTTCTCAATCTGTAAGTGACATGCTTTCCTTTTCTCCCTGCTGCCCTCCCACTCAACAAGAAGGAAAACATTCAGGTGCAGAAACTTAGATCTTCTAAAACCATTTTACTAACCAATGTTTCAGGTTTAGATTTTCCACCATACTTAGTAAAGTCTAGTCTATCATTATAATTCTAACATCTCTTGCCAGTGTAAAAGGCCAGAATATACCACAGTATACATTATTTGTTGGCCTGTTACACTGGTAATACAATCCCCAAGTTACTTGTACATGTAGGGTGTGTATCAGTGACAGTTTTGTCTCACAGATATCAGTATGCTATGGGATAGGATTGATTCAACTTTCTGCATTAAAAGAATAACCAGAAAACTGGCCAGAAATTGCATTGGATGCCTTTAACCCTTGTCCTGCTGGCTTTTTTTACACTATATTTTCAAATAATTTCGTGTCTTAATTAGGTCACAGACCCTTGACTTTTTTTGCCCTGGGGTGGCATAGTTACTTCCGCATTCAGTGTGATGTGTTGCACGAGAAACCCCCAAATCATACATAAACAGGGTGCTATATAGATGGTACTGAATGTGCAACTCAACAATTGTTGTGCTCTGCAGGACTAGGGTTTTAAGGTTTTAGTGTTGTCACCTCAAAAGTTCAGAATGCGAAGAAAAGCTAACCATTTTTGGCATCGCCCCAGGGAGGGACCCTTGACCTGAAGCCGACCGGTGGCGGCGGCCCTCTCCTGGACGACAGTGGCAAGGTCAAATCCAAGGTCAAGAAGACAATGGTGTATGAGAATGGAGGTAAGCAATAAGACATATTATTTTGATGGATTGTAAGGTTAGCTGCATGTATTGTTATAAACCAAGAAGGATATCTTGGCTCACATATACTTTAAGTTTCATTTCCAGTGTCAATAGAACAATCTCATTCTAACTCACGTAACTTTTATCAAACTCTTAACTTTTACATTCTTCATATATCTTGCCTCACATTTTAGTTCAAGTTTTATTAATTTTCTAGTCTCAGTAACATTAGTCCAAAATAACCTGTGTAACTTTCATTAAACTCGTAACTTTTACATTCTTTTATATCTCGCCTCACATATTACTTCAAGTTTCATATCTAGTGTCAGTACTGGTAACATTACTCCAAAGTTACTCATTTAACTTTCATTGAAGTCTTAACTTTCACATTCTTTTTTGTACCATAACCATTCCATCCTCCATCTTTACTCATGAATGATCCCTTCTCTCTACAGCGTGCATCACTGAGGGTAAGCCTAGAGCAGAGTCAGGCAGGTAGAGGTGGTGCTGTGGGCACAGAACACAGGCAGCTGTAACGTAGTCACTCTAGCTGTAGGCTTAGGCAGCAAGGCATTCAAATTAGGCAATACCATGATATCATTGTAATAACTGAGTGGCTCATTCCCAATGTATTGAATGATTCGGTTAAAATAGGATAAAGTCAGGATGGCAGTTATATTAATATTATATTGCACATGAGCAGTAGCTTCACTGGTGTGTTTTTAACAGTTTCACTAAATGCACAAGTAGATAGATTATTGAAAAAATATTCTGTTCACATGCAGTCAGTTGTTGGAGCTAATTTAGTAGCGTATTCAAATCTATTGGCTGGGCACAGGACATAAAGAATGATTAAAAACTTAAAATAATTACAAAGAAAGAATGATTCTCGTAATTTTTTTAAAATAACAACTTGAATTGGCCATTATCTGTCAACAGAATATGTGGCGAAGGCCACGTCAGCCGAAATACGCCGAGAGTCGGAGAGGGACTGGTGGGGCAAGCCGGGCGGAGGTGCGCCGGTCGTGAACGACAAGGGGCAGATCGTTCGCTCCACACGCGGGAAACTTCTTACGGACGCCACCGGGGTGAGTCACATTTAATCTCCAAGGGAAGAGAAGAGCAGTTGATTTTTCGAGTCAGAGCTGTAGGACAATTTGTAATTTTGCAAATTAAAGTTCTTGATCATTGTGATATCATTTGACATTTCATTGTAGTCTATCATTCTCAACAGAGGTGAAGCTGATGCTTTTGAACCATTTTGCATTTAACTTTATAATTGATACTACAAAGGAACAAAGTAGAACCTTTAAATCTTACTGGAAATACAGATGATTGTTCATTACAAAATTGTTGGTTAACAGAAATAACAGTAAAACTTGTAAAATTATTGTAGTTTGATAGAAAATGAGTGTTTTTTCGCTGTGACCTGTGACTAGATTGTGTGACTAAGACTGCCTTCAGGTAGTTGAATGTAGCCTGATGGTGACTTGTGAGATTTGAGTGATGAGAGACTCTGCCTTTTTCCTTTCCCAGGGCGAGGTGATAGTGAGGGTAAGACTGCTGTAACTCAGTACAGTAACTGTTTTATGTCCGGGTGGAAGTCAGCACTGGTGTGGTGTGGTGTGCCCTGGGTAGACGGCCAGATCAACTCAGTTCATCACAAGACATGGTGACGGCACACTCAAGTTTTAAACTTATTTTCATGCCGCCACCAATGCAGAAAACATAGAATATTTTAGCAAAGCACAAATGTACAAAATGTTCACTGAGCTGATCTGGCCATCTGACCTGTCTGTTCACAGCACTAATGATATTGGTGATGGTGTCAGTGCTTTGATTCACAGGATAAAGTTTTATATCCCATGAAAGTTGATGCAGTTGTGAAATGTTCTCTTTTTTCACGACACCTCAGGGACTAATATTCTAATGATGATGTTCTGGAAAAAAGGTTTTATAATTGCACAAGGAATCAATTTTTGGGCAAGACTTGAAAGTTTGCTGCTTTGGGTGTATAAAAAGGATTCTGATGTTCACATTGTTACAGTTTCCCTGTCAGATATTTTCAATTAAAAAAGTAGGACAATGTCCATTTTAAACAGACAAATCCGACAACCTCCTTTAAACCCAGATAACTCAGATTTTACCGAGAAAGTCTGCCCCTTGCTTGCTTTAATGGCACTGCACCAAGCTGTGTTGCTGTGAACATGTAGTGACATGGAGAAGTCATTTCCGGGCAGAATCCTGCAGAGGCATCCAGTTTTCACATTGTGATGATTGTGTTCACTTTTCTCTGGAGTGCAGTGCATTAAGTGGGATGCTTTTGCATGATTCTGTGAAATGACTGTCGCCATGTGTTAGTTCAGAGTGGTGGTTGTGAAGTACATGACCCCAGGGATGTACATAATGCAATACAAGCAGCCTGGTGTCCAGTCTTTTGCGGTTAGGGCTCACCTGGCTCTCTTCAGGAGCTCTTCACTGCCCAAATTAGCTAGGTTCCCTGGTAGGTTTTTCATATCCTCCACCAGGCCTCTCTACGGGAATACGGATCGTAGAATACGGCAAAAAGAGAGAGTAAAATTGGCCAAGGGAGTCCGGCCGCGGGGAGGTAGTTTCTTTCACTGCGCGGCCAGTCAAACCAACAAGGCGGACAAACTCCCCTGGCAATTATTCTCTTATATATAGCCAGCGTAGTTAGTCTGGTAGAGACTAGGTTTTTCATGACGGGAGTTCACGATCGGGCCGTCTGTTAAGCTGGGTGGGGGGAAAACTATTAGAGCCCCGAATACTGCCTGCCCCAACCATGATAGATTGGATACCAGGCTATGTTGCAACCAGATACAATTTTAAAACATAATTCACTGAGTAAGCAATATTGTTGGGGTCACTTCACAACTATCATTGCAGCTATGCTGAAAATGAAATCTGTGATTTCTCTGAAACATATATACTAGAGGTACAAAGTATATTGATTATTGGACTTTGATAACTTTTTCTGCAGCCTGTGTCTGATACTTCCAAGACTATGTTGGCCAACAGCAAGAAAAATTACTTTGAGGACCTCAGTAAGTATACAATGTACATGTAGCTTTCTTAGAGTATAATCATTCCTTCTGTTATTGGGAAAGTGTGTATTTTCTCATGCACATGCAGTTACAAGATTATTACCGTAACGTATTATTAAAGTTAGGCTTTTGAGAGAAATTCACTGGTACCTGAAATAAGCTCAGAAAAACATTTAACACTTGATAGTCAGACAGTGTTGCATACAATGTTAATTCAAAGAAACCAAAACTTAAGTCATTTTTCTTCGACTTGTAGGAGTTGCAGTCCAGGAAGAAAAGGACAAGAAGCAGAGAGAGCGGAGGGAACTGAGAGAGGCGGTAAGTTTATCTCGTTTGCTGTCCTTCCCTGGCAATAGAGATACAGTGTGTTAATTTTGCTTTCGATATTAAACAGTTGTATCCATTTTGGAGCACTGAAATGCATTGGCTTTGAGACAACTCTTGTTGTAAGTTACCGGTGTTGTGTGCTTTATGTGCTTTATTAAACTCCATTAGCGACACACAAGACATTGGTACAAAATCAAGTATGTAGCTAATCTTCCTGGAGTTTAGGGAACAGAAGTTGGGCAAGAAGTTGTGAACTGGAGTTGTGCAACAGAAAAGATGAATGATCGTGAAATTGAGTCTGAAATTACCCTGCACATACATGTAATGGTCATGAGACAAAAGCAATTAACAGCTCTACATGTAGGTGTGGCTGGGAAAATCCACCATTACACTTCAAGTCAAGTATATTAAACTGTGATATCGGCAGAATTTCAATGGGTGCCGGCCTGAATCTTGTATAATTACAAGATCAGGCCGTGCTCCTGTCACAACACTGCCCCCTAACTGAAGCCTTGTGTACTGCAGGGAGGTGATGTTGCCCAGTGGATGAAGGAGAGTCAAACGGGGAAGCCCAAACGTGACCCCGTGACGGGTCAGCTGATGGGCGCCAACAGGGTCATGTCGGATGTCACCAAACAGGTCAGGGGGAATCTTAAGTTTACTTTCAGTGGTCGAAATACTATTTTTCAATCTGCAATATTGCAGAATGTCTCGAAATGAATACTGTTCTGCAATTTGGAAATACTTTCTGCAAATATACTTTTAAGCCCTGACGGAACCCATACAAATTTGCATGTTGGCAAACATAAAATATTTGCATAACTAGTATATGAAAAAGTCCTCTTGAAATTCAGACATTGTGTTTCACGGAATATGCTTTATCCTACAGAAAATGGACGTGCGTCAGGAGCGTGGCCAGGGCAGCCAGGCGCTGTATAATGACCTGGTGGCTCAGGCGGAGCAGCGCAGACAACAACGTCTGGACGAGCGCAGGAGGGAGATTGAGATGGAGCGCAAGGTGAGCGTCGTGGTTGGTACAAAAGTCTGGATTTTGTTGTCTCTAAATTCCAAATTGCAAGAAAACTGGGAAGAGTAAAGAAAACATTGCGCCAACAGTCGAATAGTTAGACTAAGGAATAGATGAGAAATTACAATTGTATAAAAGTCATTAAGTCCAAAAGGAAACAAAAGTTAGACAAGTCAAGACAATTATGATGCAAATTAGTCAAGAAGATTCTGTTGTTTCAGAACAGGAGCTTAAGTGTTGTCTGTCATTGGGGCTGGAAGCACAATTCCTAACTAATTTTTGCTTCTTTGCCTGCAATGCCCCCCTCCCCCTCCTGCTCTAGGTGTAAAATTGTACATTCAAAATTGTACATTCAAAAATAAAGTGCATATCTTGAAAATCATGTGCATTTTGCACATTGCACATGGGTATTTCGAGTCCTGACCTTGTACTTCTGACAGGTTGAATTTATGTACATTTTTGTAATAAATAAACTGAAAGTTGAACTCTGTCCCCCTGCAGCACCAGATGACCATGGATAACAGCTGGGGGCGGGAGGGGGGCGGAGCGCCACTGTCTCAGCAGAATGGCGGAACCAGGAGGAGTAACCGGGGGCAACCAGACATTACACCTCTCGGACAGGTAAGGACAACATGTGGGGCAGGAATACCAAGAGTCTTTAAAGGGCCACTGTCAGGCTTTGGTCATCAATCCTTTTGTCAAAAGACATTGGTTGTAATCTAAGACACAGGTAGATTTTGCAGAAAAAAAACTTTGATACCAGTAGTAGCAGGCTCGTGCATAACATACACGTACACGTTTAAGGACTCAAAAGGCAGCAAAGAACTCAAGTTAGATCAATGAAAAAATTCAATGTTTTAGCTCTAGACAGAAATAACAGTGACTACGTTTTGTTGAGTGCAGATAGGCTGCCGTGTGCCGTCCTTCAGTCTGATAGGACACAAGCTAGTTGAGACAGGGAAACTCTGGGCAGGAGCCCCACCAAAGAAGGTGGATAGACAGTCAGGGCAACGTTTCAGAAACTGTGCAGATTTCAGAACAGTGATTTCTATGAATTTTTCAAGGGAACGTTTGATGTTCTGGTTTAATCAGTTTGAATGCTAGAGTGTTTAATCAGTATCAAGAAAGCAATCACTATAATGCCAAACTTCAGTACATGAGCTTTGATTTTAAAGCATTATTTCAACATTTTTGATAGTTGTTTAGTTATTGCACAAGAATAATTATAATGAATTCCTCTTTTTCTGCCACATGTACTTGGAGTTCCCATTTGACCAATTTTACCTTTTTTTTCTCAATCTGCAGAGGTCCAACCCTACACAGCTGCATCCACCTTTTGCAACCATGTGAGGGTCCGGACAACCAAGAGTGCAACTCTGTGGATGGGCAACCAGTCAACAAATTCTCCACCACAGAAGTTTTTGCCACTCTCTGTAACTGTCCAAAGAATGTTGAGACATCGAAAAACACAAAGCCATAGAAATTTTATGTCAGTCACAGTCATGATGTGTACCAATGTAAATAGAATATTAAGTGACAAATTTATGTATTACTAAGAATGTTTTAGAAAGCCATAAATGTTGTACTATATCAAGCACAGACATATATTTTAAATTTTCAGGTCAATGTGGTCACTGCAGTGGGAGATTTCAATGAATAGCTGTTAGATATTTGGATGCAAAACAATTGTGAAAAAGCCATGATTTTAGTACAATCACATGGGTGTGAAGTACATGTAAATCAACTCTTACAGTAATGATTCAATGCAAATCAGGGGGAAAGAAGCCATAGAATCAAAGTGTGTAAATTAAGACTCACTGGTAAACAATAAACATAACATAAAAAATGCTAGATTGTGATGTATTGGTTACACAGGGTCCCAATCATTGATTATTCACTGTTTTGTGGGCACAGGTTGCTGCTACGAATGTTATGGTCAGATAATTTGTGTAAAGATATGCACAATGTACTGAAAAACTTAACGGTATTTATCCTAGGCCTTTATCCAAACTTCAGGAGTACTGTATATTGCTGCTAAAGTATCGGTGAAGCCAGGTCATAGCAGCCTTAAAAAAGAATGGCAGTTGTCACAATGAATTGTGGTAAGATACAAATATCTCTGTACCAATTTGATATCTGGCAGTTTTAATAGCAGCTCAACAAGTCAGTATGTTTTTATCCATCAGAGCAAACTTTTAAGATTATTTGCTGTTTTAGCTGATCATGCACAAGAGTTTTATAGATCTTGTGGTTCAACATAAATTGTAAATATGGTAAGATATAGAAAAATTGTCCTCTATGCAAACAACACTATATTTTACTATGCAAATCATCCCACAGAGAGTTTTATATATTGAATGCTGGTGTTTTCACTGTGTATGACTGTATTGGAGTTTGGAATGCCACACACTGCACAAAAGATGTGACTTGGTGTGATATTTGTACCATTTTGGTTGGTATTTTTATAACACACAGGATTTGGAACTGTACTTAACTTTGTCTTGTATATGTTGCACCTTCAAGATGTACAATTATATCTTTAAAGAGAAAACGTAAGATGCTAATATACATTGTATAATGTTTAGAAATGTGTTACAGAGTTCAATACACAAAGTGTCGTTTTGTAAGCAGTGTTGTAACAGTTGCATTTTTCACTACTACTGTAAATTGCTTTATGCGGTAGTAAAAGATCGCAGCCAGAGAAAAATGGATTCCGAATTGTTTGTGGAACTATACCTTCGCAGTGGCGGCAGGTGCAGCAAATTTGTTGTTCACGGTAATAATTTTGCAGTATAAAAGCGACCGCGAAAACTGCGAAAATAGAAGTGCCACGAAAAAGTCATTGAGGCCTAACACAACCATGCACACATAAAAACGGACACAAGAGGAATGCATATTTAAAGTATTAATCACTCTTTTTCTTCAATAGACTGTGCTATTTACATTTGATATCTACAACTGTTACAGCAAGCAGTAAGTTTTGTATGATGTACTCAAAAGAATCGCCATCGTGCACATACATGTAAATGCAGTGATATAAGGTTCTCTTAACATAACATCTACATAAAAGAGAGTTAAATTTTAGAGCAACTAGATACCTTGTGCTTTGTTGCTTACAATGAGAAGTTATACATAGAAAAAAGCAGACTGTCCATCACAACATTAGATGCTTATATACAAATCACAATAATGACAGAACAATTTCATCTCGAAGACAGTTTATCTTTTAAATTTACATGCACATTAGGTCTCTTTTCATCACAAAATCTACAATCTTGCCACCCAAAGTCTCCAGCTATACGAATAAAAATCTATAAACACCAAACGAAATATATACTGATCATATTTCACCCAGTTACATGTACATGACCAAATGATAATACAGTAGCTCTATTGAATCTATGATCTGTTTTTTTCACTTGGACAGTTTAAGCTCTCATCATACTGCGAGCCTTCTCCAGAATGTCCTTGCGTATCTTGGGGTAGTTTGGGTGGACAGCTAGGACCTTGTGGCAGATATCCACTGCATCCACGTAACGCTTTGCTTTCATGTAATTGAAGCCAAGCTTGTAGCCTAGACACACATAAAAAAGGGAAAAGTTTTACACATGAGAAGGACTGAATTAAAGAAGCACAAAAATGCATAGAATTGGATGCCATATTGTTTTAAGAGGCATCAACAGTGTACAATGTATGAACATGTACTTGGCATATGTATGTTGGTGTGGTGATGTCCTTGGTGCTGAAATGGTTTCAAAAGCCACTAGAAATTGGACAGGATTGTTTGAATACATGTGGATGACTGAAGATGGGTAACTGCACCAGGTGGTTGGATAGCTAGGTTGGTTTCAGGCACACAAGTTCTTGAACATCTTATAAATACAGGGAGAATAACAGAAAAGACCATGTTACCTATGGTAGGGTTGGACTGGTTGCTGTACTTCCAGGCCAGTTCATAGTTGTTGGCTGCATCTCTGTAGGCCTGTTCCTTCTCCATGATGAACCCCATGTACTCATAGGCTTTGCAGCAAGACTAAAATACAAGTTAACATAGCAAATGAACAAAAGTCCATCAACCGTAAATACATGTACAGTAGTTTCATCAGGGTGGTAGGACACTGAATAAAGAGACACTAACAAGTCTTTTATTCAGCCAACATTTCGTTGACCGTCTGTCACCTTCCTCAGGGAAATTCTGACTGGTTCACATAGCACATCTCAGCTGCAATTTATATTTAGATACCAGACTACATGTAACCTGAGTCATGTACCTTGTTGTGCTGCAGGCACTTCTTGAGTAGTTCGCTGGCCATGTCGTACTTCCCAGACTGGATGTACACATCCGCCAGCAGCAGCCAGCTCTTCTCAAAATCCTCAGCATCCTGGGGGGGAAAGGATCAAGCTGCTAGAGAAACTAAAAAGAGCCTGCTCATCAAGACTACTCATCTACCTAGTTTCATGACAATCCAAGTTTCTTGAGATATTGTGCTCGACCACAATCATACACATGTACACATACATCGTACGCAACCACATACATACAAACAACATAGTACTGGAAACAACCTTCTGACCTTTCCTGCACATAAGTACAGATGTAGCTTTCACAGCTTCAAACTGGAGCTAGGGCAAAACTCTCTAAATAGCATCTTCAAGTGTGCTTGGGATGTATTCTTATTCTGAGTCTCCACAGACAAATATTTCCAAATGGACAATCTATAACTGCCATCTCTGAGTAGCCAAGTTGTGTTTGTGTTCTCTCACCTCGAATGTCCAGTTCATCTTGGCGATGCGTTTGAGCTGGTTCCGGGCTCGCGGTGTCTGTTTCAGGATCATGTAGGCTGTAGCCATGCCCAGCAGAGCTCCCACATGGTCCCTCTGGGGAAGGGAACATTTCAAACCGTCAGAGTTCAACAAAACTCAAGAACTTATGAATTTGACTTACTTGACTTATGCAGAGTCCTGGTGTCCCTGGCCTTGAGTCAAAATGGCAGACCAACAGTCTGTATCTTCCATCGCTTGGCTTAAGTAGTCCACCTCCAGGCCGGTGTCTCTCCTGAGGCAGTCTATTAAAGTTGAAGCCAGTCTTCCTCCTCCCATGCTCGGGGGTCCAGAGTACAAGCTCGGCCACAATTTCCTCCCTACTTATGAAACTGAACCTGTGCTTTTGGGTTCCTTTATCTTTTTGGTTACCGGTACTTCTTAGGTTCTCAATACCACCAACAGCCTTTCAGCTATTAAATCATGATAACCTGTTGTTTCTCATGCTCATAACATGACATTGTCATCATTTGCACATACATGTATTTCTCTACACATTCAACAATTGACATTAGCTGGCTTCAACAGTACAGGGCCCTACAGCTCACAGCTACAGGCCTGAGTGAAGTGACTACTACAGTTTTTGTACCTCGACAGTTACAATCTCCATGAATGCAGACAGAGCCTTCTCCACGTTAGACTTAGACTTTGTGGCCATCAGGACGTAGTTCTCCAGGATTCTCTGCTTGTAGGAGTTGGGATCTGCCTTCAGCTCCTGTTAAAGACATTCAAGACTTCTTATTAAATTTTTCTCGCATTGCCTTTTTCATTCTTTAAAATGCAGAATTCTGAGAGATTCGGTCAAAAATTCCAGTGAATCAATTTCTTTGAGTTGAATAACAGTTTAATCATCATTATTAGACATATCATATGTGATGTGGTACCTTGATCAGCTTTTCTGCTGTCTTCACTGCAATTTGGTCACTTTCTGCAGAGCTGCATGAATAAATGAAGACTTTTAAATAGTATATTCATGCCCCACTGGGCTAAGCACAGTTCACATGCTTTCAAACACACCTAATATACATGTACATACATCTACTGTAATATACACTAGTACATAGGCTTGGTTTGGCCTTGGTTGGTTAGGATTTTCCTCTAACTTTTTGGTACTTAATGAAGTAAATGAATGAATAAGTTCCAGAAGACGGTGTCTTAAAACTTTGACAGAGCAGTACCTATTGTCATCAGTCACACTTTCAAAGGTCTCCCCTCCGATGGTCTCATTGTCAGGGTTCAGACAGATCTCAATCATGTTGACCACAGCCTTCTGACTCCATTCACGGTCCTTACGACCGATGTTGAACAGCTTGAGGGCGTTGTTGGGGTTTCCTGTGTACCTGGATGTGGAAATAAACTGCATGTCAAGATGCTGTAGATATGTATACAATAAGAACACACCAGTATAACAATAAGAAATGTGTCAACAATTCATAATAACATAGTGAATTGTTTGAAGGAAGAAGTACTGGAAAGTAGTCTATTTGTTCAAAAGAAAAGGAGTAAAAAGTCAATTTCAAGTCAAGAGCCCAGTCACATACTGTACATGTACATGTATGTTGCAAAATCATTGTATAATCACGAAGTAAGGGCATTGATAGTAATTCAGCAGCCTTATCAGAGAAAAGGCTGTCTATGATTTTTGTCAGTGGTTAGTTCTGCCTCAGCCTGCTTGAAAATCCCAGACATCAAAATCATAGGACAACCTACATGTTAGACATATTTTAGAAATGGGCGTGGCCTTTAACTATTGATTACGTCATCATGACGTCATAAAAATTTGCATAAATTATCGTCTTGCAATCAGGTACTTGGAGAAAAAAAAAATCAATATCCATACTTAAGTCTAAGTACTATTTTTGATACCTCCCCAAAATTCACCAGCAGTGCCCTGTGGCTACCTTAATGACAAATGTTTTCAACACTGACCACTCCTGTAGCCCCTTGCAGTAGTTAAAGCCGGGGTCCATGGGTGCACGGGACGATGCATTCTCTGCCTGGGTCAGGAGTTTGGGCACGTCGTCTAGCCGTCCCGCCCTTCTGAGAAGGTCAATCAGCCTGGACAAGGCTTCATAGTGCTCTACAGGGGAAAAACACTGGTCTTAACTCATCAAGAAGTCACTAAGTAATGCAAAAATGTTACATAAAGTCCCTTTAATTAATACTGTAACAATGACAATAGAAGAGTACTCACAGTAAAACGTTAAACTTTATTCCAACACACAATTTACAGGGATCAAATTTTCAGCGACCACTGTCGCCTATATCAGGATAATTAATGACCAATCACTGTAAGTTGTGTGTTGGAATAAAGTTTAACGTTTTACTATGATTACTACCAACACAGATGAACTTTCATGATAATAGAAGAGTACAATTGTATGCCTTACCTGGAGACCTCTCTAACAGCTGCTGGTAGTGGAACGTGGCCTGGTCATACTCATTCTTACGGAACATCAGGTCTGCCATCATCTGGAACGGCAATGCATCCAAACCTTGTTTATAAGGAATCTTTCCTAGAACTACATCACTATGGAACAAGCTTCCTGGTGAATGTTTCCCAAATGGGTACAACTTTACAGTTTTAGTAAGCAAACATCTGTCCTCACAGTCCAGTATTGTAACCCAAAACATGTGGGTGGTTTCTATGAGCCTTGTTTTGTGGTGAAAATTAAAATAAGATAAAGAGAAAAATACTTCCTTTCTCAACACTTCACATACTACATATGAGACAGGAGCTTTTGATTATATAATTTATAATAATAATAAAAAACACCAATTAAGTCAGCAAAATCCAGTCAACCAAATCTGGGGGTCACAATTAAAAGTGCATTACACAAATAAACCTAAAGCCACATACAACAGAATTGAACCACGCTGTATTCTGATTCTATGCAGAATTCTAAAATGGTGGGAAAGTTCTATTCCTGCTGTAAGATGTGTTGTGATAATACACTACAAAATGTGAGGAGTGAAAGTGAGGGTTGAGTTTACCATGGTGGCAGCATCGTTCTCCTTGTCAGTCTTGAGTAGAATGGCACACTGGTGCTGACAGGCGTCCAGGTCATCCTGGGCCAGGTACAGCCGAGCCAACTCCAACATAGCCTGGAACACACGACAGTTGGGATGTCAGGATGTAGATTAGGTTTTCACTGCCATTTGGCTTATAAGCATTTTGACAAATGGAAAGACACACACTTGGCCCCAACTGTGGCTACCTTTAAGAGACTGTTGCAATAACAGAAATCTTCAGATCATGAACAGAAATGTTCTTTGTACCATGCTCGTATAAAAATATATACATTTGTATACAGATTATTAGGGCTGTAAATGACAAAGACATATATAATCTTTTTGATATATTTTGTCTGACCCTTACCTTTTCCCTTGTGAACTCAATGAAAAGCAGCCTGCAGGTTGATTTGAGCTTCTCACGAATACAGAATGGTTGAAATATAAGATAATCTGGATTTAGCTTATGTCCGTACCTTGCCGTCATTATCACTGTATACCAGAGCCTCCTTGTAGAACTTGATGGCCTTGTCGTAGTCCCTCTGCTCCTTAGCATGCTGGGCCATCTGGCTACAGATGCTGTAGGTATGACAGGAATCAAACACTTCCATTGTCAACAACTCAGGGATTATAATACATGTACCTCCTGCATATGGAGGCTAGAGCAGGTAGAACTCTTCCAGTCCCAGTCAGACAAAAATACATGTACAGTATTTACTATTGCTGAAAAGTATCAAAGCTAAAGCCCTTGTCACACATAGCCAAACTCTGGAAAAACTCCCCCAACTAGTAGTAGTATACATGTAGGTTGGGAGAAAGATTGGCTGTGGTGTTCAGCCAGGTCAGCTACTGTTTGACTCAAATTTAACTAAAATTTGATTCTATTTGTAAAACTTTGTATAGTAAGGTAGGCATGGCCTAAATCTGGTCAGACCGCTCCCAATCTTCCGCCAATCTTGCTTGGTTGATGGTTGGGGGAGGGTTCTGAAGGTGTGACAGGAGCTTAACAAACTATGGTCTTATGTACCCAGCTTGTACTTACATGTATTGTACAAAACAGGTGTGTTATGCTTAACAAACAAACAAACAAATGAGCAGCCTCTCCTGACCTGGTTGCCAGCTGTTTCTGTGCAGGTACAGCATCAGGCTGCTCCACATGGACTCTCTTCAGCACCCTGAGGTACAAACAACATCAACAACATTATATTATTTCTTATACCCCACCCATACAAATTACTACCACTACTAGTATCACAATATACATTGTACAAGTGGCCTTATGAAGCTACATGTAGTCCAGGTCTTTTTATGCTTTCCTCTTTTATATTGTTATAATCAACTAAGGGAGGATTTCCACCACATGAACCTACATAACGTCAACTCACAGGGTAGAGGCAAGTGGCAGGCTGCCATTAAGCCGCAGTATTTCTGTGCAAGCACGTCTAAACCTTGGAAGTCAGAGAACAACAGACACTAGACCGGATAGTGAGTGAGTGTAGCTACTGGACCAAAATCCAACCAACAAGTCCAGTTGCCCAACCCAAACCAGCCTTACCTAGCCTGGGTGTCCCTAGCCTTGTTCAGGGCTCCTAAGGCCTCCTCAATCTTCCCTGCTTTGTGGTGCACCTTGGAGAGGAGAACCTGGCAGCGAGTCTCGTCCATCAAGGCCTGCAGGTCTGAGGCTACAGAAAACAACAACACATTTTGGATAGCCAATCAGCACCAAGGAAAGATTAGGGGGAAAGCCAATCAGCACCAAGGAAAGACTACCTGGACAGCCAATCAGCATCAAGGAAAAATTACCTGGGCAGCCAATCAGCACCATGTTCCATTTTCAAACTAGTTTTCTAACTATTTGCCAATCTTCAACCAAGTAGGAACCCCTTGAAATAAGAAGCATATCTTGGTAGCTTTCATGCAGTCGTGACCTTTGAACTTTGCCCTTACCAGTTTCCTTCTCGAGCGCGACCCTGAGCACCTTCTCGGCCTTGTCGTACTGCCGCAGTCGCAGCAGCAGCTCGGCAAGGTCGTACCGCAGGAAGTTCTGCCCGCCAGACTTCAGCGCAGCCTCATAGTAGTTGATCGCCTGTAACAATGTAAAACATGCTGCCAGGGGGTCCAAAATCTAATCTTTTTGTGGCCTCATCAATACCTATCCACTTACCAAATATCAAGAAAATTTAACTAAGAATATTTAATAAGCCTTCTCTAGTTAACATGTTTACACACACACACACACACACACACACACACACAAATTAACCTTCATGGAGAAAGTAAAAAGTGTACAACATTTGCAGTGTTTTTATGTTGTGGTAATTACCAGAAAATTTACTTTTTGTATAGTCCTAATGTTACATAATGCAGCTTTAACTAACTAACTACTAGTGACCAGATACCTTGCCATAGTTGTGTGTCTTCACCAGAGCTTGCCCAATCTTACTGGCCAAGGTGGCATCCCGGGGGTTTCTCTTCAACGCAGACTCGTACACTTCTATTGCCTTCTCGGGCTGCAAACAAACAAACATGATTAGCGGGCTTCCAGCGGCAGTCCTTTGGATGGGACGTTAAACCGTGGTCCACTGTTCATTGTGCTTGTCGAAAAGAGCTAGGGGAATTTCCCCGGTACAATGAACCTGTAAATACTGTACAATAGCGTCTGTCTTCTCTGTCACGACCAGTGGGAGATTAGCTCTTCAATGAGCTAAACTGGTTCGAGATCAGTTTCACTTTCACTTTTCCACACTCAATGCACCCAGGTGTAAAAATGGGCACCTGGTTGGGGAGGTAAAAGACGATAAACAACCTACTGCCCATTCGGTCTCACAGAAATTCTAGGCTCTTCCGACAGTTAAGTAAGAAATGAAAGCATGCTCACCTCCTGAATACTCATGTAGGCGTCACCCAGCAGCAGTGCAGTATGGGAGCTGGGCTGTTTCTCGTGGAGCTCCCTGGAAAATATTCAACATTCTAAATTCTCAGAAAGTGGTCTGGGTTACTTTGTACTCTAACGTTTAGAATCAGTATGATATCAATGAAGATCATCACTAAACGAAAAATGATACAACTACATTTTGTGTAAGCAGAATTTTTCTGGCTATATCAAAACTTGACTGTTGGAATGACATGAGTTGTATCATTCAGCTCAAGATTTAGACTTAGTTTTAGAAAAGAAAGAAATAGAGAGAAATAACCTGTAGCAGCTGGCAAATAGTCTCTTATCCTTGCGGTGATTCAGGTAGATGTCAGCCATCTTTTCCTTAGCCTGGACGTAATACCTGTAGTAGGAATATTGTACAACGAACACAATTTTTACCTCAGTCATAGAAAACTTCTCAAAAACCTACTGTCCCAAAAAAGACGAAAATGGACTCATTTGCTATTCTTTAAAATCCAGTTTCAATACAGATACAGAAGCTGGTGTGACACCGAAGGACGGTTATACCGGCTATACAGATACAGAAGCTGGTGTGTTATGCCGAATGACGGTTATACCAGCTATACACATACAGACATGGTGTGTTACACTGAAGGGCAGTTCTAGCGGCTATACAGATACAGAAACAACTTAAAGAAAAAATGGGAAGTCTGGACTTACGGCTGTTCTGGTGTGATGTTTCGGAGCATGCTGAGCGACATCTCGATGTCCCCGCGGTTGAGTGACAGGTCGGCGTTAGCGATGGTGATACGGATCTCCTCGGGCGTGCCCTGGAACTCGTTAATGGCGTCCTGCATCACCTTCGCAGCTTCATGCTTCAAAAACAAGGTAAGAGAAACTTAGAAATGATGTTAAAATAAGGTTTTATTTTTCAAACTACTTGATGTTATTTTATACTCTAATTATGTTCTATGTGTGAAAGTTCAAGCCTTTTTAATTTCATATACTAGACTTTCTTTCACTGGATAAAAACACACAAAAACAAGAGAAAACAAATCACTTCAGTCACTCACAAAGACTAAATGTTAAATGTACTTTTGATCTTGTACCTCCTTAGTGTTGAAGGACTACAAGACGTATACACATACATAAGTGCACTCCTGAAGTTGGAGTAAGAACTGGAGTTTAGGAGGTTCCTAACCTGCTGTCCCAGCATCCTGTGTGCCTCGGCCAGCTCCAGGTACACAGACACCTTATCCGTGGTGCTGATCTTCCCAGCCTTACTCTTCTTGCTGGACGCACTGCCTACAGAAGTAAACAACAAACATCAGCAACTTTCCTTCCCAATAAAAAATTATGTCACTTTGTTTTCTACAGTTGACAGTCTGTCACAGGTAAAGATGACTATCAGTGTCCTCATTCAACGGTGAGTGACCTCATGTGGCTTGTTAGTCCAAAACTTGAGGCACACAGTCGTCCAACCTTTGGGTATTGTATGTTGGTCTAATGTCAGTACTGCCTTTGCAGCTAGGATTTGAACACCCAACCTCTTGGTTCAGTGGTAGGGCTGCTAACTACTGGGACTACACACACGGATAGAATCAAATCAAATTTTCTTCAGTAAGGCTCTCGCGGGCGAATACCCGAATTACGTCCTTATTACATAGTATATAAAACATTAAAAACAATGATATGTGACACTCTTTATTGTGCTCATGAAACAACATAGACGAACACAATATCAAGACATATATGAGACAATTACACAATTAAAATCTATGCATAAGATGCAGTTATAACGAAGAATTTAGCTAGGTACAATATATATATATATATATATATATATATATATATATATATATATATAACACTACTGTTGGATTGTCTTGTTATAAAGGCGAACAGCGCAATGAAGGAACGAGTTGCTAAGTCTCTTACTCCGGGCTACTAATAGTAGTAAATACTAATAAAGACTAGATGTTTCCTTACCACTTCTCTTCAGCCCCGGGAGGTTCATGGCCATCTGTAGAGTCTTCACGGCCTCCTCATGTTGACCCATTTTCTTGGAGGCTCGAGCCTTGATCAGATGGTACTTAGGGGACTCTCGAATCTAGACATGGTCAAGAATATCAAAAACAATTTGTCTTATTGTCAGTGGGTGGGCTTGCTACTCTCTCCTTGCAACTGAGGGCTGAATTGTGAGGGGCTAACAATCAGTGGGTTAGGCTACAATTGTTTCATTTCATTTCATTTATTGGTGATGCCACAATGCATTACAAGTGGGAGCCAGGCAGCCTAAAGGCTGGTGGCAGCTGCCACTGGTACATACAACACAACACAGGACAAGTCAATACAATATACAGGACCTAACAACAAGTTACGAATATCCAAATAGCAAAACATAACAGTGCATTATACAATATCGAAGACACATCATCATCAAATTAATATAGTAATCATAAGAATATCTATAGTCAAAAGAGAAGAGGAAAGATGGTTACAATTATTACACGAACAAAGTTTAACACATTCACAACATATAGCATGTCCTTGGGAGATTTTGTGTCAAGTCACTAAGTGCAAATATAAATTTTGTAAGTCATGTACAGCTCATATGTGTTGGTAGAATCCAGAGTTTATGCTTTGTTCCAACACATGAAAACTCTCATCAACTTTCATCAGATGTGTGACCCATTCGCTGACACTGGTGAGTTTGTTTCCTGTGTTGGAACAAAGTTTAAACTCTACAATTATGTACAGTGTGTGTTTCACTGACCTCAAAGTTGTAGCTGAGAGCCATCTCCAGAGACTGGGAGGACAGTTTAAAATTCCCCTGGTGAAGGTGGATCTGAAAAACAGTACGTGGAGAAACAGTCTTAGAACGGATAGAGTAATACCGGTAACACAGTTGCATGGAACAAAATAAAAGCCTTGCAGCTTGCAACATTGGACAATATATCAGTGCTCTTTTGTTTGTTACTTGCTTTTGACGGTCGACAGAAATAAATGTAATCAACACAAACATTTTAAGACTGCAAGAGATACTAGAATACACTCATACAACCATTAATTTGATGGTCCCTGATTTTTGAGCCCTTTTATTCTGAGAGTAAGAATTCCAAGTCTAGTATGATGTACTGTGCAGAATGTGATATATATATATATATGTTACCTCAGCCATGAGCAGATGTGCATCTGAATATGTCGGTTCCTGCTCTAAAACATGGTGGAGGGTGTTGAAGGCAGAGTCCACTTCTCCTAAAGGTGGATACATGAGCAAACATGTTTGAAACACATCACTGGACAAGGCTGTCCTGGTTTACATTACAGGCCTTTAGTTACAAAAGTCACTTTCTACTTTGATCAATGGTTAACTAGAAAGGTAACATTTGCAAAGCAAATGCATAATGTTAACCTTCACATACTGTATATGGTCTGCTCTGTTAATTCTCACTCACAAACACATTGTACTACTAGTATATGGTGACAGGAGCAGAGCAGACCATGAAATTGCAACATTATGTAACCCAACACCAGTCACCATGGTGACAGGCGTCAACAGATCATGTCATTGTTCAGGTCATAGGTCACTGTTTGGAGAAGAAGAAGAGGAAGAAATTGAGCAAACACAACATGTTTTCCTTCGGTAAACATAAAAATGCATTGTGATGGAAGCTGCAAGAAAAGGCTGGACAAAAATGACCCACCTGAGAGGAATTTACACTTGGAGAGCAGATATAGCCCCTCTAGCAGGCCTGGCACAGCCTTGGTGAGAGGGTCCAGCATACCCTGGCACCTCTTCAGTACAGGACCCACAGGCTGGCCTGGAGAGCTAGGCTACAGTTGCAACACACAAAATATAGTAAGTTTTAGAACAAACAATATAATCATGTAATGCATGGTACAACATGTATGTATTGTACCTCAAATACAAGGTTTAGCGAGTTTAGCATGGTTGACATCTTGAAGAGGTGACAGTCACCCGTTATGCCAATCCTTCCACAAATGTGGCAAATCTTCATAAATAAAATCTTCTGTGGTAAATACTATCAGCAAATACTATCATGAAAGTTCATCTGTGTTGGTAGTTACATGTTTAAAGTTAAAACTAAAGATCCAACACAATAAAGATCTAGGTGAGAGATCTCAAGTTGGATCTCAAGTTTTTATTGTGTTGGATCTTAAGTTTTAATTCTAAACAGATAATGAAAAACTTAAACTTTTCTCCAACTCGAAATTTGACTCACCAGAAATTTTTGACTGAATCACTCAGTCTTCCTCAGCTATCTGACCCAAATGCTGTGGACACGTGATTTTTCCCACGTGTGACGTCAGCAAAGGGTCAAAGGTTGTCGGATAGCTGAGGAAGACTGAGTGATTCAGTCGAAAATTTCTGGTGAGTCAAATTTCGAGTTGGAGAAAAGTTTAAGTTTTTCATAATGTAATTTACCAACTCAGATGAACTTTCATGCTGATCTAAACAGATAAATAGATAAACTGTAAAACAGACAAACTAACAGCTCCCCCTACCTGTGTGGGTGCAAACAGCATGAAGTCATTGATGACCTCCAGAAGAAAGTCTGGATTCAGCCTGGTGAAGTACTCAGGTCCAAGTGGCAGACCCTGCACAAACACAGAACACAAAACTACAATCAGCTCTTCGTTAAATAGCTAGAGTAACCAGTGTTCGAAATACCCCTCTTTTTCTGCAAATTGCAGATAGGTTTTCAAGATTGCAATAAAAAAACTGCACTGGTCGGGTAATAAACACAAAACACAAAATCACAATCGGCTTGTCGGTGAAAAACAATATTGGTTAAACAGACTTGGTTATGATGAAGAAATCAATTCGCTGGATATTTCAATGGGGCTGATGAATGAATGAATGAATGAATGAATGAATGAATGAATGAATGAATGAATGAATGAATGAATGAATGAATGAATGAATGAATGAATGAATGAATGAATGAATGAATGAATGAATGAATGAATGAATGAATGAATGAATGAATGAATGAATGAATGAATGAATGAATGAATGAATGACATAGCTTTTTAAAACATACAGTAGCAAGTACATGGATCAGCTGGAAATCAAAAGGAAATGAAGCACACATTATTTCAGGAAATACAAGATCAGATTTAAAAGTTTGAGGCAGGATTTGCTGTTCACGAACCTTAAGCGTTGAGAAATGGGCCTCAACGGACTCATTCAGTAGAGCCAGAACCTTCTCTGGAGGCTGGTGCCTCTTACGGGCCAGGACGGAACTCAGGTACGACAGCTCCTACAGGGGGCAAGGAAGAAAAACTGTTAAGGCCACAGCAAGTAAATTTCATGGATGACATCCTCCGCAAACTCTGAGTGAATTAAGTGAAATGAACTGCCCGATGCCAAAACTAACCGGTATTTGAACTTACCCCAGACTTGCCAATAGACTGTTGGATCTCATTCAGGAACTCCAGCTGCTGCTCTGCATCTTCCAACTGACCATCTAGCAACTGGCACTTAATGATGCCTGAAGTTCAAATACAAAAGTATAATTTATACTTTGGACTAACTTTTCAAAAAACAGTAATGGTACATGTGTACCACTATACACAATTTCATCAGGTTGTTGAATGATTGAATATCAGCAATATCTGTTTTTGTTTACACTATATACATTGAAAGACACAAGCATATTTATTGGTAGGCAAATCAACGCTAGCCTGGGTACCATCCGGATTTTCGCTACGCAACGCTCAAAAAAATCACTCGAGCGTTGCGTAGCAAAAATCCGGATGGTACCCAGGCTAAATCAACACGCCAACCTTAACGAATTTGCTTTGTCTACTGGCTGTGGCGTCATGACAATTGTTCCTCTATCAAAGTTTTTTATTTACATCTTCATCAGGGCAATTAACCTCGGTATGACTGGTATTAGCAGCTTCAGTGAACCAGTCATTATTGCCCTGATGAAGATCTATTGACATCGAAATATCAGCTCTTGTAAAACAAGTGGTTGTGACTAAAGAACATTGCAATTCAGTAACTGTACCAGTAAGAGCTGCCACGCTGGTCTCGTCCAGTTTCATGGCGTTCCTGTAGCACTTGACGGCCTCCCTGATCTTCCCCTGCAGCAGGAACTCGTACCCCAGCTCTGTGGCGATCTCTGCGCTGTTCTGTGCCATCCCCAGGGCGCGGTCCACCATCGTGAACGTCTGCTGCAGAACCTGGATGTTACGTCCAGCCTACATGTGAAGGAGAATATAGAAACCTTTAACACTTATAATACAAGACAGGAAGAATAAAGTATGTAACAAGAGTTCCACAAACTCATACCATTGCCAAATTATGTTACACTTAATCATTATGACTGATCAGTTATCAATGTTTCTCATTGATTATGTTTATGTCTGTATATTTTGTTCAATGTGGTTCAATGTTTTGTTATTTTGTTCAATGCTCGGTATGGTGCCCAATACCAGCTACTGCTGCCTTGCTGCCTGGGTAGACACTATATTGTATTTGTCACAATACAACTGAAGGAATGTTAGAAGGATAAGGATTGGGATTTGAACCCATGTCTCCTGGTCCCTTACCAGTCTACAGAAGGCCTGAGACATGTCCATGTACAGGTATGGGTTCTGGGGTTCGAACCTATCCAAGTACTGGATCAGCTCTCCTAACTTGTTACTGGCCTGCACGGGGAAACAAAGAGGAAAACATGTAACTTTGAACATGAAAACTTCACAATCACATTTCTATAATGGTGAAAACAATATAGGACTACATAGGACTAGTCCAAGCAAAGTGGAGGGGGTCTGCAGAATTGTTTTCTTCCTTTTAATGTTATCTTTATGAAGACATGTACATTCTACCACGTGTAGTTCTTTTCATTTTTCATTTCTTCTTCCCATTTTAAGTCTTTGAATCTGACCCCATCCCCATCAGAATGAACTAGTCCTGAAAATCTCCATTCCTACCTCACTGTAGCTGCCCTCCCTACACAGCATGTGTAACACCAGCATACGGTGGGCCTCCAGACAGTGGGAGTCCTTAGCCTGTATTCTGTGTTGCCAAAAAAATATGAGTGTGAGCAAGTCATCCAACCAATCACACATAGTTTACGTAGCTTGTTTTTTTGGTTATTTCAAATGAAATGATGACAAAAATGTGCTAAGAAATGGCATTGTATCTGCAAATTACACGCTACGTTGAATTACATGTAGAGCGGTCCGTCTATGCTCTGCGTAGAATTAAAAAGGCTGATTACGCTCTATGGAAAAGGGCATGTGGGCCTCCTTACCTCTGTGCAGTTTCTATGGTCTGTTCCCAGTCCTGTAAGGCCAGCTGAAGTCTCATTTTCTCCACCAGTGCAGGCAGGAAGTTGGGGAAGGCCACGATGGCCTGGTTCACAATCTCCAGCGCGCCGCTGTAGTTATGCCGCATGCCGTAGTACTCAGCCTTACCCAGCAGGGCAAATGCATCCTGAGAACTCCTGAAAGGTGGTCACAGGTGTCAGTGTTCTCACCAGGCTGTTTGAGTGGGGTGTAACAGCAGAGTATTCGACTCAGAACTAAGAGGTACCAGGTTCGAATCCTGCCATATCACCAATGTTGTGCCCTTGGGAAAGACACTTACTAATATGACTTTCCTCACTTCACTCAGATGAAAATGAGTACGGAATTGATCATTATCATGATTGTGGGCATTACAGGACAATGAAGAGCTCCCTATACTGTGATTTGGACCACCTATACTCTGATTTAGCCCCCTACACTGTCTTTGTCTTTCAACCAGCATAGGGGTGTTTCTTCCTAGAGAGAACCCTGTGACGCTTCACAAGTTCACTTTAGAAGCCTAGTTTGATATCTTGCATATCTAGTCTACATTGTCTCACAACCGACATGTAGTGGCGTTTTGCTTGTTTGTACTTACGACATGCCCTCATCAAAGTACTTGGCAGCCTTCTTGACATACTGGTCCCTGCCACAGGTTAGGTCTATCCAGCCTCGCAGGATCAGGCCCTAGGTGTGGTGCAGTATGTCACAATGAGACCACATATAGAAAAAGTACATTCATGGAAAATTCTTTCATTGGCAAATCAGAAGTGTGGACACTGAGGAAAGTAGTTAGAATATTCCTTACATCTTTGGCCCCATTGGATATCTTGAGCATCCTGTCAATGTACTCTCTGGCCTTGTCGTGTCTGCCTGTGTGCCACAGGAACAACCCAGCAAAGTACAGGGCCTGAGGGTACGAGAAACAGTTATGTCTAGTCTGTACATGTAACATCAAATTCACATTCACAGAGCTTCTAAGCCTGGTCTTCATTTGACGTATCCCATTTTGCTTCTCCTATTTAGTCAGTTAGATGCTGTTCCAGCAATTCAAACTTACATGTAGTTCAGTACCTAGAAGTGACCTTTTGGTCTTGCACTGAGCATATTTGTTAAAGAAATTAATAACAAGAGAAAAACACAAGCAAATCAAAATATTATAATTAAAAAAAAGCACTATTATATATGTAAGTCTAGCACCGGCACATCCTACCTTTTCTCCAGCTTGCTTTCTCTCATCTTTGAGCTTCGCATCCAGCTCTGCTACTGCCTCACGATCTGAAAATAATGATCATGAATTATCATTTTGCTCACATAACATCCAGGACATACACCAAATGAATGCCTTTTACATGCTGTGTTTTTAACAACTGACGGTTTTAAAATCCATTTTTTCCAGTTCAGCCAGGTTTGGCCTATGTTATGTTATCCCCTTCCCAAATTTCTTCAATCCTCTATGCTGGGGAAGCGGAGGATCACCATATACAATGTATAAAAACTATAATTATTATAATACATTTTTATACCTCAAACAGCATAATTTCACACATGTATTTGTCTTTTGTGAGATCTCTTGCATCTATGTTCCTACCTTTTTTCTAACTCTCTCATTAACATAACCTCATTCAATCTCAAGGTATTTACAGTAACCTACCAACAGTCTTGCACTTCTTGTGAGCGTACATCAGAGCCAGTGTGGAGCACAAGTTCACGTCACGCTTGTCTTTGATGGCTTCAAGTTCACGCATGGCTTCCTGCAGGCGATCTGAATTACGAGCATACAAGGTAAGCTTTCATAGGACTTTATATTTATACCAGGGGTTTTTCTAGAAAAAATTAGTATGAGGGGGGATTTTTTTACCAGTGTTGTACATATGTATTGTTTTTTACATCTTTACTGGAAAAAGATCATTTTGAAAAAGACTAAAATGGTCTGTAAGTAGCCACATGGGGTTCAATTTGAAAATTAATATGAGGGAGCTGGCCGGTAGCATGAGGGAGCAGCGCCCTTATTCCCCTGTTTAGAAAAAAAAACCTGTATACATCATACATGTAACACTTCTTTCATCTCTCTGGGGGTGGGAGGGCAGCATGCACCTTGTGGGAATTGTACAAAATATCTGGCTAATAACAAAAGAAAAAAAAACAATAAATGAACTCAAAATGACTTTAAGCCCTGTCTACAGTTTGCAGTTTTCAAAGATTTAGGCTTTCCAGATCTTTTCCCACTGAGGATTCAGATGGATTCAACCCTCAGAGCTGGAAGGTCCAGAAAAGCAGCCATCTTGGTCCAAGGCCCCCTAGAAATACCATAATACTTAATAGTCTTTCCTTATTTGTTATTTCCCAGATCCCAGATCATTTTTTAAATCCAGCCAAAATGATGACAAGGCCTTCAATGATTAATATTAGAGGACTTTTCAACACCTCCAAGAAAAATATTGAAAGCTTCTCTAACAATGTTACCTTCTAAGAGGATGCCATAAGCCTTAAAGAAGATGAGGACAGGATCGTTGCCGTATTTCTTCAGCCCCTCCATGGCCGTCTTCTGCATGGTTCTGTACAGCCTCTCACGGCAGTAGTAGTTCAGCGTTGCCTGGGTAAAGCGTACATAATTTGTAAAGCCAAAACACCAGTCTTAAACAGTTGAACTCTTACTAATCTTACCCTCCATACAAAAAAAACAACAAAAAAAAAAAACATACACTTCCAGTTCGACCAAGGAAACTTCTAATAATACATGTAGTTCTATACATTACATATACATATTTTCACTGCCATCCTTTAATGTAGATAACCTATTACAATAAAAAGAAATACAGCTCAAAGTAAGATCAACCTACTAGTAATTCATTATTCCGCGAAATTAAACAGTGACAACATCAAATTGAAACGTTCTCATACATGAAATAGATAGCGTTTTACAACTTACCAACGTAGTCGCGTCTTCGTCCGCCATTTTTCTTCACCGGTAGAAAATAAAATCTGCTGCAGTGATCTTGAATCACTCAGAAGTTTGAGAAGGGGAGGGGGGCGCTGTAAGCTTCACCGTTTGGTCGCCAAGGTAACGACGCGTCGACGCTATGTGTGTTTCAGAGACCTTGCCGGAAAAAACAACTGTTTACCAGTTGGAAAATTCTAGTATCACCATATCTTCTGAATTACCAAACTATATGAACTTTCTATTATCCGCTAGGAACTCCGAAAGGCGAAACTCAAACCTTAGAAAATTTCGTATTTCGGAATCTCACCTACAGCGCATGCGTGTTTCTCCTTGGTTATTGGTACAATCATTTTAGGGGTGTGAGGTAAAATAAAAACTTATTTTTTCAATTTAGAACATTGAATATGCTAAAAGTCATTTTAAAATGATAAGTAGATTAACTTACACTGTCAAATTTGTACCTATTGTTTTACAAAATCGTCTCTTTTTGTCTAGATTGTGAAAATGAATTTCACCCCTCTATTCTAATAGAACATTCTCGATAACTTATCAACCAAACCTGACCTCTGACCCACCGTGCATGCGGAAACATGGCCGCATCTGGCGTGAAAATGGACAGAAAACAGCTCCTTGCGACCTGTTTACGGGTGGCTGGCTTCGTGGTGACCAGATATCCCTTCTGGCATGCGCTGGTGCTGATCATGAACTTTGCGGAGCGCTCAAAGACCAAGAAGTAAGTTTTTGTCGGGCAAATTCTGTGTCCATTTTATGCAAACTACCTTGAGCCAGCTGCAGCTGTGCAGCCCCGCCCATCCCTTGCAGTGCATCTGTTAAAAAATGTTAAAGTGAGGGTTCGAAATATATATATACCACCTACATGTGCAGGTTTGTGCAGGTACAATTGGAGCTGTGCAGGTATTTCTGATGTCTGCCTGCACCTAACCTGCACTGGTCCATGCCCTAATAGGGCAGGTAAAATTCACAAATTGGAGCTGTGCAGGTATAGCTGGTCCATGTACTGGGTGTAACGCTATATATATATATAATGTAGGTGTATGTCAAGTTTTATTTGCTGCATCCACTGTTACACCACTATGAAAAATGGCAATGCAATGGTTTCTGAACAGTAGATCATTATCATGATCTTAACTCCGGTACTCCCTAATTATGGATTAATACTTACATAAATTAGAAAGACCCTAGGTCTTCCCTCCCTACAGTATAGGAGGCGCAGAGGAGACATGATACATGTATTCAAACTAGCAACAGGGCTGGAGGGGATTCAGACTCAAATCCTTCTTCACAAAGCAAACAGAAGGACCAACAAGAGGGCACAGTTGCAAACTGGAGGTCCCTTTGGCCAAAGGAAGAGTTAGATGACAGACATTCAGCGTCCGGGTCGTTAGGGATTGGAACAGTCTACCACAGGCCGTAATTAACTCAGAATCAGTAAATGAGTTCAAGACGATCTTAGACAAATACTGGGAGAGCATAAAGTATAACACTGAGTGAAGTCGAGATCGGGATCACCACAGGATTACCTCTCATCCCGAAGACAGTATCAAGGTATCAAGGAAATAGATAATACTAAGTAAATAAAGCCTCCTGAATGAAGTTTGTTTTCTTTTCACTTCCAGATACCCTGACCTGGAGATTCCGTGGGTGTACGCTGACCTGGGAGCCTACGTCCTGCTGGCGTCTTTCACGTCTTTCAACATCAAGCGTCGCTGGTTCGCCATCGCGGTTGCCGTACAGCTAGCCGTCAGCGTAACCCTCTCTCTCACCAGCCGACACGCGCCCTACTCGGAATGGCTGTCCATCCGCATCTCCTCCAAAAGTCTCGCCGTCATCGGAAGCTACCTTACCATCGGAAGCGGCATTGGAGAGCTTTACCGACGGAAGCCACGCGACCGATCGACCCAGCAAATCTCCCTAATGTTCACGGGCCTACACCTTGTGTGCCAAGCGTACACGCTCTTCTACAGTAGGGAGGACAAGCAAGCGTTCCTCGAGCATATATTCGGTGGTCAGCCGATGCTGTCCATCTTTACGTTTCTCCACGTGGCGTTAGGACTGGCGTTTCTTCCGGTTACGAGCCCAAGCTTTTGTCCCGAGTCATGATGGTTGTTCTGTTCGTTACGGCCGCTTTTTTGGACACTGACATCAACTACTGGACACGGGGTAGACATGTGGAGTTTTGGGTACAAGTACGACTGCTGACAGACAACTTGTGTATCTTTGCAGGGTTGTCCATGATGGCCATAGATGGGTAGTGACTACATGTTATAATTGTGTAATGGTGCAGCATGGAACATGTGTTCTTACTACTACTTAGTGGGGGTTGTACCCAAAATGGGAAGGTAACAAAATCACATCAACAGCTACTAGTGAATTCTTTCATCAGTGACAACTTTGGAAGGATAAGGATACTAACCTCCAAATTTTCGATGGCTATCAGTCCATCTTGTTCACGGAGTAGACTAATCTTGCGAAAGCGCGAGACTAGGCCCGAGACTTGCATCGGTCTTCCGGGCCCCATCCCCTGTTGATGAAAGAATTCACTAGTAACTGTATCTATACGTGACAAATGAACCTCTTCAACGACATCAACAGCTGTTATTGTTGCAAGTAGAAATGCTATTTAAATGAAGCCTGTGCTTTAGATAGCCGGAAGTTTTAGTTGGATTAGTTGTAAGTTCTAAGAGCAAAGTGGATTTCCCCTCTGGTCTCTCAGTCACTGACGAAAGCTAGTGGATACTAGCTGAAACGTCTGATGTTTCCAAAATCATAACCAGTTGCTTGAGTAACTGTCTTTTTGGCCATAAGTGGATTTCTAGTCTAGGTGTACTTTTTTCTACCTCGAAATATTACCTTTAATGCTATACATGTACCTTATGGCATACTGTGTATACAGTAGAATAGACAGAATGTTTCTTAAGTATAGTCACAACCAAGGAACACATAGTTATCAATGTCATAACCTTTCATGTGCAATCATTAATACTTTACTTACATGAAAAGTCTAGTAACAGTTTAGTCAAAACTGCTATAATGCTATTAGCTTTTTGGATGAAGAGGCCTGAAGTATTTTAGACTGCTGGCCTTGCAACTTGCAAGTGTATGTGTGTTTTACTAACAATGTCTTAAAGTGGACAATCCACGTACTCTGTAGCTTGTGATGTAATGCTGTTAGAATAAACAGGGTAACAAATTATGCATGTTGTTGCTGTTGTAACTGATATTACAGGATTGTGATGCAATAAGGTGGTCACTCTGTGGTAGAAAAGAAATATAATTTCTTGCAATAAAAACGTAAATACTGTATCCAATACTAGTGGTTTTGCAGCTTTACAGGGTTGTTGTAACATGTTAGATGTAGAATTTGAACTTTCTATGTTGTCTGACTGTCCAAAATGGTGATGCATAGAAAGATCACATAAGCAGTTGTTAGATACTATTCATAATACACATTTATTGATTTAATAAGAATACAATCTCCAATCATGGAGGTAGAAGTTGAATACACATTGTATCTCTCATATAACGTTATCTTCACTGAATCACACATGTCAAGGACTTGTACCAAACATCTCAGTCTTCATTTACTCAGTTTTCTTCCTTTATATTACCCGAGAATTTAAAAGTTTTCAGCTTTGCCTGGTGACCAGACCACCGGGAGCTCCCGGGTATGTTTACGGGGCTGGGAGTGCTGCCCTCCCGCCCAGGCTATTCCGTACGCCCGGGAATTCTCACGGGGTTGGTTTCAGGGGCCAGTTGGACATATAGGCTACCAGAAAAGCCCTATTCCGTCAAAGGAATTGGTTTTGTAGCAAACATTACTAAGCCTGATTTCCCTGGTTTAAGACTGCAAGCAAAGTGCAACAGCCACCGGAGCGGGGGACACTAACGTTACGGGACTTCACGCGGGCGACTCTGTCGCCGGTCCCGAGGACATTGCTCCTCCAACGCGGTGAATTTTTCGCCGTGAATTTTATGAAATTTATTTCCTAAAGTCAGTGCCACTTGCACAGAATATGTTGGTCTTGACTAATTCAGTAGTCTGGTGTCTGTTTTATCGAGTATTAAAAGGAGGCGCCTTGGTTTTAGACTGGTAATCATGCCACGGGAGCTCCCTAGCATCTCTACGGCGCTGGGAGTGTTACCCGCCCGCCCGGCACATTACACACGCCCGGGGATTCTCACGGGGTTGGTTTCAGGGGCTGGTTGGACGTATAGGCTACCAGAAAAGCCCTATTCCTTCAAAGGAATTGGTTTTGTAGCAAACATTACTAAGCCCGATTTCCCTGGTTTAAGACTGCGAGCAAAGTACAACAGCCACCGGAGCGGGGGACGCTACGGGACTTTGCGCGGGCGAAGTCCGCCGCTGGTCCCGAGGACATAGCTCCTCCAACGCGGTGACTTTTTCGCCGTGAATTTCATAGAATTCGTCCTCTTAAGTCGGCCCTTTGCACAGAATATGTTGGTCTTGACTAATTCAGTAGTCTGGCGTCTGTTTTATCGAGTATTAAAAGGAGATGCCTTGGTTTTAGCCTGGTAATCATGCCACGGGAGCTCCCTGGCATCTCAACGGCGCCGGGAGTGTTACCCGCCCGCCCGGCACATTAACGCACGTCGGGGCATTTTTATGGGGTCGGTCAGTTCGATAATTTTAGCACGGCATTGAGCAGAAAGGCTGACTAGAAAGATAGGCTGCCAGGAAAAGACATATTCTTACAGCAATTGCCGGCGAAACACATTTAATTCGGCCCGTGAAAAAAGGTTTCCAAGGCTAGGTCAACTCAACACCGAGGCTCGCCTCGTCTCCTTGGATTTTTAGCAGTTTAACTGACGCCAGACAAAGATACCTTGGATATTTAGAAAGATAAGAGTCTTCAGAACTTAAATAAATTCATAAAAGTTACCTGTATTGCATATACTTTCACCATT